AAGCAAAACTGTTGAAGTAACTTAAGTGTTGTAAATTTGATGGAGTTAAAGTTTGCTATCACAAAACGGACAATCACTGAACGCGACTGATGCAGCCTGTTTGCTGCCACCACACGACCACATTTAACAACCCAGAGAGCCTGAAGACAGACAATCCCCCCAATTGACAGCTCGTCACATAAATCACAAGAGAACTAGTTCCCGACCAAATCGGTTCAATATCACAGCATGCACGATCTTGGCAACCCCTGCGTCTTTCTGTAACTTGCTCCGCGGGAATATTATGCCAAGAAACTCGGGCCGACTACCTCTCTAGCGAAGCGCTCGCTGGTAAATCATTGTAGGATTTACGGCAGACGGATCGTCGCCTGCATACACTGCACAGGCACGGCGCCATATCAAGATTTCATGATGAATGCATGCATAATATCGCGTATCTCCCGCGACCGCTTGATGCTGCGAACCAACGAGATGATTTATTTTCCCAGACGGATGTTGAACAGCGCCCTCTGTTGATAATCGATATTGCCAATCACACAACAAAATGAAACATTGATGTAATAAATTGTCGTTTTAGTCAAAATTGAAATCTTACCTTGGAAGATGATGTAAAACTCCATCGGCTCTACGTTTTCAACTCAAGTGACAACATTGCACAACACACAACAAACACTCCTCAAAATTGGCAGTTTTGCAAACAACTTTCACAATTTGGTTTAAGGTTTGATTCCAACCAGGACCCTTTCAATTTTTTGTGTGTGGATGGTCAATCCAACATGCCCAATGTCGTTTACAGGACTACATAGACCTCGGTAGAATGCCGGTTCGGAATTTAAGTGGTTCCAGGTTTGATTTCCTACTTTCTTTAGTTTGTTTGTGTGTATTCCTTCTCAACATTGTAAATTGGAGACATAAACTGCCCATTTCAGGAGTTCAAACAAAACATTATGACAAACTGGTTGTTAAACTGAATTTGACAAATTCCAACAGTTTTGGAAAGAAAAAAGTACTAAAAGTAACACTCCAAGATAGCATACAAGCAACTACAAATTAATGAAGGTTTAAATTCTTATAAAAATTTAAATATCAACACCAATGCTGCATATACAACTACAATTAAACCAAAGAGACATTTTTAAAAATTGAACCATACCCAATAATTTGCATTTGAAATTTTGCTTCAAATTTCAGTTGATATATCTTACACAAACAACAAGGTATGCAAAAGATGAATCCCACCAAAGTGCAGGTGGTAAGACTGCCCAGCACCGAGGGCAAGGACCTGCTGATCTCATAGGAGTGGCTCCCCCGGGGTTTCATTTCACACAGCCTGTAGGATGCTGATAAATATGACACTTACAAGGGGGACCCACTCCTCAGGGGAAAAGAGGTAGGATGAGAAACTGGCAGACAGCGGAAGGGCCCACTTGACGGATCTGGCATTGTCAGTTCAATTTTTAATAGGTTTTGAGGATGACCAAAACTGCAACCTTGTCAATTAAACATAACTACATGTACCTGGTGTGGGTTCTTTCAAATTTGCAGGAATTTTTTGGGGGGGGCACAAAACAGCAAGTCCTCCTAAAAGTCACTAGCCTCTTGAAGGAGGGTTGGGGAAGGGGCTTAAGTTGGGGGAGGGGCTTAAATATGTGGGGGTACAAAGAATCATGGTTCACATGTCCTTTCTATTGTCTTAAGCAATTCTTCAAGGAGTTTGTTTCAATATTGCTAACGAAGGAAAAAAGTCTCATTTGTGTCTCAGACATGAGAAACTTTATACAAAGATCAGGAGAAATGTCCCCTCCCACTGAAGCCACTCCCCCACTATTACGTCCTTGACACTGTTGTGTCACAAGATGGCAGCAGATAAGTTTATCAATGTGCAAAAGTTCTGATTTATATTATTTCTGAATGAAAAAAAAAAGGCAGGAAAGTACGTGTATAATTAGGGATCTGTTCCAAAATATGAACATCCCCCCCGAAAAAATACAAATCAAACCTACAGCTGGGACATAATGTAGAGATCAAGCAGGCAATAAATACCTGTAAATATGTAAAATCTACACTGTAATACATTTGCTATTATGTCATTTATTCTATGTTCCATATATTTATAGAGAGGAATGAAGCAAATATAATACCATGCAAAAACTGGGTATTTCCCATCACAATATTTTCTCTCGTTCAATTTTGAATCCATCATCTAAAGGATAAATGTCCAGTCTGGGCATTTGTGATGTTATCACAAATTTGGCATTTTTGTTGTTGAATATGTTAAAAGGTGGCCGAGAAGGGTGCCAAAAAGTGCATCAGATGAACCAAGTCTGAGTAGTGGGGGGGGGGGGGGGGAGGGGGGGAGGGGGGAATGACTTGTGAGGAACTGGAGCATCATTTAGAGTAATCCCACGAGACGACCGTAATCCATGTAACCTGGTCCTCCTACAAGCAAGACAACACCGGCTTTAGTCAGAAGGGTGTTTGCGTCCAATCACGTGGGACCTGGTTCCGGCTCGTCTGAGGTGTCAATCGCCGCACGTCATCAATCCTGCGTCCAACGCGATGGGACAGCTCCGCAAGAAGAGGTTTTAGGGAAGGGGATGGAGGTGCGAAACATGGGTAACGTCACTTGTTCCGAGTGTAGATGTGGTGTGATGGGTCTTGTAGTTGCATTTGGAGGAAAGTTTGTGGGAGGGGGGGGGGGAGGGAAGGGGGGGGGAGGAGGGAAGGGGGGGGATCTGGCTCCAACTTGAATAAGTCATGAACAGTCTGGCTAGTGGCCATTTAATTGCATGCAATTTATGCAGCGTTGCTGGATGGGTTGACGTGACACTCGCAATTAGATCACAGGTCCGCTGGAGGGAGTGATTAGCCAGTGTGGAGGTGGCAAAAACAAGAGGATATTTGGGCATGAGTGACTTGAGATGCAGTTGAAGACATTGACTGATGGCTGTGTAACATGAGTCACGAATGTATGCAGCAGGTCTACATTCTGTCCTCAAAATGATGACATCTATCCTTGCTGTATTACATAAAAATGTTGTCATTGAAAATAGAGTTACATGTACCTTTACAGTTGGGGTCACAGTATGATATCCCATTTTTATAAATAAGCGTGGTACATGGCTTCATGTATTACACTGTATAGCATTTGTTTTTCTGTAATCAAAGGTAATAAATTGAGGTATCTTTTCGCACATATTTCTTAAATTTTTCTGCACACTTGATAAAGACCATACCTATCCCCCTCTATTTAAATGCAAAGTAACTTCATTAATATGCAATTACATATCAGTATCATAATATGCACAAAGTGCTCAGGATCCACGAGCAGAGCCTTGTGCAGCAAATGTTCCAAACAAATCCCCAGTGTCTGGTCTTGACAATCAATTCTGCTTCAATTACTCCACAATCAGAATGACAACTATTACTATATTTATCCTCCGTAGGGTTCAAATAAACCCAAAGCCCTGGTGCCTAAATGACTTCCCAATGCAATTAAAACAAGGAAAGACAAATGATAGCTCATTGTCAGACCAAGCTGGCAAACAGGGGACCATTTAAGAGACAAATGGCTTGGGAATAATTACAAGGCCTCCCGCCGAAGGAAGGGAAACGGACATCGGAGGTGCTGCAAGCGCCCAACCCCTCGTCGCCATCATCCATTTCCGGGGCGTCAAAAAAAGGACGCTGGCATCCGTCATATTTCTGTTCGTCGTGGCGGCAAGTCAAGCGGAGCCATGAATACAGGTGTTTTGCTGGGTTTTTTTCCATTGAAGATTGTTCTAGAGATTGCTAGGAAAACTGAGGTCATTTTTCTTAGCTGGTAATTAACATCAATTATTTTTTGTTTTGTTGGAAGGTTCTCAGTGTTCAGGAAGAGGGAGGGTTCTGGGTAAGGTATCGCAGGGGATGATGGATGCGCGGCAGGTGATTCCATGGCAGTCAGTTCTCCAGGAAAACAAGCCAGTTTATCTCTGAAGACAACGATTGACTGCAGAAATCTCTCTTGTACGGATGGCATAAGTTGAGACTCCCATGCTGAAGTACCGGTACAACCACTCTGATACAGCTTCAGTTTTCCTGAGTTTTTCAGTAGTTCCTCTTTTTTTTGTTAATGACATTTTCAACATCACAGCTGGAGCACTGTATCTTCAACCAGTAAAAACAGCATTATGTATAAATGTTTCTTCTTATACTTGGGCAATTCCATAAAAACCAGTTCTATACGTACGTCCGACCACATGTACAAGGTGGTTACGGTGGTGGTACCTTAGTTTGGTCTGTAATTGTTTTCTACTTATTAGATGTCACATTATTAGTGATGTATCACATTCACTTTTCCAACAACAGCTCATTAAAGAGTCTGACATGTACGTTCAAACTCACGGAATTGCCCATTTTAAACACTCCTTTAACATACGTAGGTCACGCAATGAGTAAAATAAAGATTGACTTTTTTTTAAAGAAGAACATTCAGACCTTTTGGAACAGAACATTAAAAAAAAGTTTAGTAAAAAAAATAATTTGCTTTACACTACATTTGACAATGAAGTGTTCTACAAGTGAATACAACATTTATATCAGTTAAAAATATGTGTTGTCCGGCCGACGAACAATGAAATAAGGCAGACACAATCAAGAAAATTGCACATAAAAAGTCAAATCCAGTTTAACAAATCCAGTGACACAACACAAACAAACATATCACAGACCATGAAACCATATTCACCATTTTGAAAGCCCCGGTTTTCTGAATTCAAACCAAAGAACTTGTCAGTTTTGCATTAATTTTTCACGAATCTTTGGCATTAAACTTGGTTCAAATTTAACTGTGAATAGAACAGGAGTACAGAGTTTCGCATTCTTTTTTGAAATTCTAAAACTTCCATCAATAACCAGTGTCAAAGGAAACTGTTTTTTTTTTTTTAATTCCAAGTTTTTTCAGTACTATAAAACTATTGTTTCATTGTTTTCCGTTTGCACCGCAACCCTCAAAATGGTGACAATACTTCTGGTTATTTTTTTTGTAGGCACAAACTGACCTTAGAATCCAATTCCTTGTACGCTGGGTCCTCTTCATCCACTTCAAAGTACATCTCAGATGAGGTGATGGAGAGAGATCCCTTGGCCACGACACAAGGAGCGACAAGAGAGGATGGGGTGCTATAAACAACTGGTCCTGAGGTGGCAAAGGAAACGTTTCGGAATGATTTTCCAGATGATATTTCGTAGACTACCAAACTTCTAAGTATTAAAATGGACACTTCAAAATAATGTCTAACTAATAGCCTTTATGGTTACTTTACCCAACTCTAAGCATTATTAGTATGCCCTCTTACTGATCAATCTGATGAGTTTTCAGAACTCACTGAGTTTGGTAGTCTGCCCTTTAGATGAACACAGATATTGATGTAAAGTGCTTGCTCAAGAACACAAGAACTGAGATTACCGGCTAGGGCCGAGCCGTGATGAAGGTTACGCTATAGAAAATGCGTAAAGATGATCGGCCACATTCATTTGACATTTTTATTGGGGTTTTTCTCTTGCAACAGAGTAAGGACTTTGAGGTTACCTTCGAGTTCGGTTTCCAGTTCTACATCCTTGTCATCTTGCAAGCTGGAGCTGTCCTCTTCAAACTCGCTGGTTTGGGAGTCAAACCTCCTGCCTGCTGCCAGCTGGGAATGCAAGGCTTGCTTGGCTTTCTCTATCACATCCTCATCCTCACCTGTTGATTAATCGATTAATTGATGAATTGATCAAATTGATTGAATGATTGATGGATTGATTACTAATATTGGATGATCAATACTTTGGGTGGTTTGAGAGTCAAACCTCTTGCCTGCTGCCAGCTGGGAATGCAAGGCTTGTTTTGCCTTCTCTATCACATCCTCATCTTCACCTGTTAATTGATCAATTAATTAATTGATTTGCAGTCCTTCTGATTTGAAAATCATAGGTGTGTGGAAAAAGCACACCTGCATTTTTTTAGGCGTGTGATTTTTCTAGGCATGTGATTTTCTAGGCGAGTGATTTTTCTAGGTGTGTGATTCTATGGTCCAAGCTGGGATATTATTTCATAATATTCATTGTGGTTTACAATTAAGCTATTTTCTCTTCACTGACGTACTTTATTTTTCACAAATTATGAAGTGAAATTATGCTGAAAATGTATGCCGAGGTGTGCGGTACTGAGGGATTCAGGCGTGCGATTATTCGCACTTCTCAGAAAGCATTTAGGCGTGTGATGGCGTGGGGGTGTGATCACACGCCTCAAAACAGAAAGACTGGATTTGCGGATGGATTGATTACAAATTCCAAATAATCAATACTCCGTGTAGATGGGGAGTCAAACCTCCTGCATGTGGCCAGCTGGGAATGCTCAATGATAAACTGATCAATAAAATGATTGATTTACTGTTTAATTAGTCATTTCAAATAAATAATACAATCCCAAAAGGAAAAGGACCGGCAATCTTCAATTCTGTCTAGTTTTCCCTTTAAAATTTCATGAATATGAGACACCGGAAACGCATGATAAAAAAAAAAAAAGCATGAATGTATCCAGAATGCTGTCCAAGGTGATTGCTTCCTTACCATGTTCAATGGCCGCCATGAGTGTGGCCTCAGGATGGGTGGAGCCAAGGGGATTACGGATTAGCCTACGATGGCGTCGGGTGTTGTCCTCCCACATATCTACACGGTAGAACTCACGCGGCCTACGCAGTCAAAAGGAAAACACACCAATAACCTCAATCACTTTCTCCTTTTACATCTTCTATTACATTTTAAAAATAATAATAATGCACATTTACGAAGCTCACATATCTGTATTGGCGCTTGAGGTGCTTCATCTTTATTACCCTGCTCATTGGGCCAATGAAACATTCCAAAGACCATCTCGGCTCCCTGGGAAGTACCGGTATTCAGGCCAGTACTGCCATTTTGGCGCAAAGCAGCTAGTCAGTCACAGTAACAATCTCTGCCCTCACAGGTACCCATTTACTCCTGGGTGTGTGCGGGTGTGTGTGTGGGGGGGGGGGGGGGAAGGAGCAATTTGTGACAAAGTGCCTTGCCCAAGGACACATGCATCACAACCCCACAGGCTGGATTCGAACCCACATCCTGTAAATTTACCAACAGAGTTCAATACTCCATTTTCGAAATTCTTACCAGTCTGAGAAAAAGCAGCAAGCAATATTTAAATCAAAATTTTAGAATTTTGCTTGACACTGGTTTCTGCTAAGCTAACTGTGTTCTCAACACCGTTTAGCAGTTTCAAGTATCTTCTGAAGTGACAAATAATTAAACCTGTTATTATAAAAAAAAAGTGTAACGGCCAGCCAATGCTCTTCCAAAGTGACAGTCCAGCTAGCCAGTCACTCTGGCATGACCAAAACTCACTGAACCCTTCACTGCACTTTGTATTAACTGTCAGGTCCTGTTATATGGATTAAACGCAACACAGATGTGGCATCCATTCAGAGCAACTGACCCCGAAAAAAGGACGCGTGCCCCCTTCTACAAAGAGCACCGATATCAATTTTTAAAAATTTTGAACTTGACCTCAAACGGACCGACTATCTATAACTATCTGTACTTCTCGTCAAGCTGTCGCCGCGCTTTGAAGTGAATCTCCACCCCCTTTCTGAAGGGCTGTCTGAAAATTTGTGTTACACATTCGGAGTGCCACTGGGACACTGGCGGTATTTTAAAGTGCAATATGAATGAGGGAAACACATTTGTAAATCACATGATTAATTTTGTGTTATGCTCTGGGTGGTGGATTCCAAAGTGTTAAGAGCCTTAGCTTAACGAGAGAAGCAGATTTTTCATCTGTCTGAGTATAAAAAAAAACATGGTTTATTATGAATAAACTCAAGATGAATTCAAGTCTTCAGGGTAGATACAGAAGCAAGTGCACAACGCTTGTACCAAACTTCCAGCGGCTTTTAAAGATCAGTCAAGTTATCTGAATGCTGACTGATTGCCTGGCTTGTTGTGAAAGGAAGGATGTAGGGCTAATTTGCTATCAATTCATTTACTTTATGCAGCCAGCACAACACAAGAAAATGGATTATTTCTCCCCCCCCAAAAAAAAAACGAAAAGACATGGAGAACACTTAAAACAAATAAAAAACTTTTCTCTTTCCTCAAAATCTCCAGAAGGTAATTATAAATTGTAATTTTTTTTGGGGGGGGTAATCATCCTTACTAGCAGCTGAGAAGCTGAATTCGGGCGATTCACAATGCAGTGCGCCACCAAGAGTTTGCCACAGAGAGTCCATTTTTCAAGTTACGATCGACAAAACATGGCCCATTTGAATGAGTGTCGGTAGACAACTTGAGCTAATATGTCACAGATTGAGGCGTAGCGTTCTGCCGCCTTACAAAAAAACACCATATTGATATCAAGAAAAGAAATGGGCAAACAAATCCTGGAATCATTCGCTTACGAAACCAGTGACCGGAAAAATTAACAATTTCAAATGTCCCGCGCTGCGAATTTGTCGACCATCTCCCACAATGCACTGGGAAAAATGAACTCTCCGTGGCAAACTCTTGGTGGCGCACTGCATTGTGAATTGCCCGAATTGCAAAGGACGCGGCTACAACGTGGTTGAGCCGAAGGTATGTAAAGGCGCAATAGGCTGCCAGCCATACGACTCCTGTATGACCACGGAGCACAGCCAGAGATAAAAAATGTACTGAGTTGTTTGCAGAACACGTTTCACCCAACCATGAAAAGCATAATAAAAACCTATTAAACCAAGAATCCCTAATACCCCTCCCCTCCCCTTCCTTCCCCCTCCCCCCTCCCACACCAGGACCCAGACAAGTTGCAGTCAAACCAAACAATGTACCATGAGTCAAAGATACAAAGTGACATCCCTTATTATGCCTCGATCTCTGAGAAGAATAGAAGTGATCAAGCACACGCCAACCAGACCCTGTTCATTCTGCTGAGTAATGCAGGTCCCTCGATTCCCCTCCCCCTAAACAAATGAAATCTAGACACGACATAGCGCACACAATTTTAAATTCCCCAAACAATAAATGCTACTAATGATCACGCTTGACGATTTCAAAATGAGGCAGTGGCATTACTGCCACCTAGGTAGGCGGTGGTTGGAACGAGAAAAACATCTCTGAAATTTAATCAAGGCCAAGTAACTAACATCAGATGATATATGCAGATGGTGGAATATCCAGGCTTCAGTTCCAGACGACTTTTTTTTCTTTTTCTATCATTGTTTCATTCCTCAAGATGACAGAAGAGCAAGTTCATCCTACTTTACGACAACCAGCAACCAAGGCCGCCTAATAAGCCTTTTAACGACTTTTATTCAAACTTGCTGACGGATGGCGAGATTTTATCCGGAAGAGAAAGACGTCTTCTTAAAGTGGTGACGCATCCTGTGGATTTTGACTAGAGGAATTCAGGGTTGATTCTTAAGGTTTTGCTTTGAAAATATGCAGTCATGGTAACCATGTTTACCGCATGGGACAGTTGCTTGTCCTTACATAAAGCATTCTTGGTTCCGTCATGTACACACAATTCAAATTTTACCAAATTTCGATCCCCACCCAACAGAGTGAACACTGTACCACATGTTCTGATTGTAACACACTTTAACTTGACCCAAAACTGTGTCTGTACACCGTTTGTACGTCACTACATAATTTTAACCGAAAGCGTGGATTTACATGTACAAGAGCAATTCAAATCAGAACTTAAATTCTGAAGAATTCAAACTTGCAGTGTTTTCTTTCTAAGTTTCACAGTCACTTTGAAAAAAAAAAGAGACTGAAACAAAGTCCGGAACGGACCAATTCAATGTGTGACTTACATGTAGAACGTGACCAATTACGGTACTAACACGTGTTAACATAATCCAGCGGTAATGTCATTTACCAATGTCAAGGTACTTCATGCGCAATATTGCACCTGACAAGGACGCAGGGTGACCCTGTTGGACCAACAGCCTTTTACTCTATAAGAGATCCGCAAGTAAATATACGACAGCACATCAAAGCTGCATCGCTTATAAAGAAACTGACAGATGAGACAGACCCAGCAGATGAGAGACTAATAAGTCATCAGTCGTATAAATCCCGCCTTGGCAGGTGTTTTTGGAGAGATGATTATCAATAGCATTATATTTAAGTGGCTCATCAATAGAACAAACACGGAGATGAAATTCAGGAGAGTGCAGGCAGGTCATGAGTGAGCCAATGGAAGGTCATTGGCTCTTGACCAAGATGGGGTACTAACTACTGAAGGACCTTGGGCTTGGGAACAAACACCTGTTGTCTGCCTGGTGACAAGTCTAATCAGCCCATCCTCACACTACCTCTTCATTAACAGCAGTGCTTGGGCACATGGTACTGACAAGCTGTGGCATTTGGGAGTTTTGTAGTAATGCAAGATGGAGGGAGTGGGGATGGGGAAGGGGACAGGAGTGGTGGGGGTGGGGACAGGGTGGGGACGGGAGGAGGGGGATGGGGATGAGGATGGTTATGGGAGGAGGGGAAGGGCATGAAAGGAGGATTAGGGGCGACTCCCAGAGGGTAGGAGGGGTAAGGACAGGATGGGGTGGGGACGGGAGGAGGGGGATGGGGATGAGGATAGTTATGGGAGGAGGGGTAGGCATGAAAGGAGGATTACGGGTGATTCCAAGAGAGGAGGAGGGGTAGGGGTGGTGGGGTGGGGACAGGAGGGGGTGGGGGCAGGAGGAAGGGGATGGGATGAGGATAGTTATGGGAGGAAGGGTAGGCATGAAAGGAGGATTACGGGTGATTCCAAGAGAGGAGGAGGGGTAGGGGTGGTGGGGTGGGGACAGGAGGGGGTGGGGGCAGGAGGAAGGGGATGGGATGAGGATAGTTATGGGAGGAGGGGTAGGCATGAATGGAGGATTAGGGGTGAGTCCCGGAGGGAAGGAGGGGTAGGGGTGGGGGCAGGAAGGGGCAGGGAGTGGGTGAAGGGGAAAGGTGGCAGGGAATGAAGGTGAAGAAGCCACACCCCATGCCTAATATGAGTTTAACTATGCGAATAGTTTTTGAAATTATTAAGTTGATGTCAACTTTTTAAAGTTATCTTTTTGATATCTCTGCATAACTCTTGGAAAATTATTCTGGAGGTGTCACTCAATTCAAATTTGGGATGCATTTTCCCAAAACTAGACTTACAAAATGCTTTTGGTGTAGATTAATATTGCTTTGGTTTGTGAACAGTATGCCCCTACCTCTCTGTCTCAACTTGATGTCATATGACAAGTAATCAACATTAATCAATACGCATCATGCATCATAGTATTGTGGCGTCCTGTGCTAGACAACGGCCAATTATACATCTGTCAATGATGACAGATGCAAAATATGATATCACAACTTAAGTCTTGCCTGGTTGGGGAAAGTAGGACGGGTTACGTCCTCGTTATATTGTCATACTGACATAACAGCAAACTGTGACACTAGGAAGATGCAGTATTTGGGATCTACTGAGTTGCAAATTTGCAAGACGTACAAAATGTATCATCAGAAATCCGTCGCTCATCAATCCCAAGTCCATCGTAAGTCCTCCAGTCTAAAGTCTAGTCAAAAGCTTTCCAAAAAACTGTGATAAACAGCAATCCTTTGTCAAAAGAGGGGCCATGCAACCCAGTTTCATTACTGCATTGGGAAAAAAATCTTGTGAAAAAGGGGAAACAAGTTAATGGTAGTTGAATTGTAGATCTGACTTAAGTATCACATATTTTAGCAATTAATTACTACTTAAGGACTATTTTAACCACAAAATTGAAGAAATGTAAACTGAATTTCACGCGGAGCATTGGTCGGACTGACTGAACCACTGCACGAAGAGTTCATCTTACATGGGATGCTCTCTTCAACTCCAATCACACAGGCCAAAGTAGAATACCTAAACCACTTCTGTCATGCACTAGGCTCAAAAACAAACTTGTCAGAAGCCATATCCTATATGCGTGTTCACAGCTGTTGGGGTGTTACACAAAAATGTTAGTAAGCTATCGATGGAAGGGGCCAGAATTTGAACTTGCTTGGGTCCCCATCCATGCCTACCCATTCCTTTCCCTCTCAAGCAGAGAACAGAAAACATGCTTGTTTATTACGCAAAAACAGTTGAGGTTTTTTGACAGTAATCACAAGGCTGGTGCATACTTCACACGAATGCAAATCGCATCTGACACTAGTAAACATTTGCTGCGAGATTCGGCAGAGTTGAATTGTGTTCAGCTTTTTAGGAATCACAGCACTAATACTTGCATCACAATTTGGCGTTCGTCTTCGCTTTTGCACAGAGTACAAACTTGCCTTCAGGTTGTAATATCGTCCAAAGTAACTGAACTGCTGTTGTCATGGATCAACCAATCAGGATCGAAGATAACAAGATAAAGCAGCTTGTTTTATGTTGGGTATGTTTGCCTACATGTAATTGACCTTAAAGGTGCAGTGAGGAACTGGCTTTTGCTCACAACATGGACATTTTTTTTGTACAGCCCTAAAAATATTTCCTTTAAAGACATCAATCATTTCTTGCCCAAACGCAATGGCATCACGGTTGGATTTGAAACTAGAATGTGTGGATTTCGTCAATAACTAAGACAAATACTGTAGTGCTAAGCAAAGACATATCAAATGTTGTCTTCTGGATGCTTTGACAAGCACAACATGGACATTTTTTTTGTACAGCCCTAAAAATATTTCCTTTAAAGACATCAATCATTTCTTGCCCAAACGCAATGGCATCACGGTTGGATTTGCAACGAGAATGTGTGGATTTGGTCAGTAACTAAGACAAATACTGTAGTGCTAGGCGAAGACATATCAAATGTTGTCTTCTGGATGCTTTGAAACTTGTCAGCTTTTGTGAAGTTTAATTGGATACCAAATTACAAAACAGCCTCTGCAAATGTACATCTACCTGTAGTCTGTAAAACAGTTGTCACTCATGTGTTTTTTTTATTTGTTAGGTACTGACAATAACTGCTTGAATGTAATCTTCAACTAGCCAATGAAAGTATATTTCTATGAAGTTGAACTTGAGACTGAAGTGTCACTGGACTACGAATCCTCAAAAACTCCTGCTGAAGATGAGTTTCAGTGTGAACGGGGGAAACAGTGTTGTGTGGGGTACGTGAGTCATCCTGGCCACCTGGCCATGTGGAAGAATGTTCTATCGGTTACTCAGCAAACCATGGCTCCCTGTCGCAACATGCGAAGGGGAACCACGAGATTTAGAAACAAATTGGGATAAATCAACATGGATCTTTAGGGTCTTCGTTCCTTCAACACCCCCCCCCCCCCCCCTCCTCCAATGATCGGCTTTTCCAAATCCTCCGCCCGAACAACTGGGGTGTCGATGAATGTCTTCAGAGAGTGGGGTTTGACTAAGAAGCCAGAGAGTTCATGAGAAGGGTAAGTAGGTAGAGCAATGGGTTCCAATTGCTTATTCATTGCCGTCTTCAGCTTCAATTAATGTTGCGGATGGATCAAGGGAGGTCAGGGATGACGAGCAACAAGCGAGGCAACGGTGATGGAATCTCCACGTTACACGGATAGGCATGTCAGGGTTATCCTTTTCCCTTCTTCCAATCAACTTCGCTCATCGGCAAAACAGAAACCCCGGTAAATCCATCACACGCAATTCACAGCTCACTTTTTGGGGGATAAAAGGGGATTAATGCTTACAGGAAATTCTGAGTTTAAACTGGGGCAGGCTTTCGGACAAGTAACATTCATGTTCTCCCCCCCCCAAAAAAAAATTAGCACAGTCAATTATCAGGAGTGAGGAGTCTTGCAGCTGCTGGTACCAAACCTGAATCCAGAATGGCCCGATTGATCCAAAACCAAATCAGACTCGACGAAACTAATAGGAAATCCTTTCAAAAGGAGTTGTAGGACAAGTTGAGGGGCAGAAAAAAAAGAGGGGGGTGGGCAACTGGGGTAACTGCACCACTTTGGGAGGAAACTTGTCGGACCGTAGAAGGGGAAGAACAGGATCAAGTGCAACTTGATACCGAGGAGCGGAAAGTGGACCAGCTATCCTCAAAGGCTTCACAGGGATTAAGGAGCTAATGTGAAGAGTAAACAGGAGCTTAAAGCTGACTTTTAAGCAGCAGACAGTATCGGACATTGTAGTCTGCTGTGCAAGTCTGAAGAGCCAAACCCCTTCAAGGAAGCCATTCCAAGCAGGACTTTCGTTGTGTGATTGGCTACACTTGTTTTTGAAGTAAGGCAGTAATTTTTGCAGATGTGATGTTAAATACCAACATTTTAGGAGGGGGACTAAAGTATGTCACAAAATTAACCATTTCTTGAGGCCCTATGAGTTTGAGAAGAATAAGCATTGTCCCGAAGTTCCATTACTGATCTCAAAAAGGGCATTTTTGGAGAGACTATTTTGGTTGCGGTTTACAGTTCTGTAGTCAAGTCCGTAATAATAAGTCAAGTCACAAGTAAATCATCAGTCAATTCGCATGTCTGTTCACAAGTAACAGGGTTCAAATGAACTGTGTCCATGTCACAGTTCATTTGAACAGCCTGTGACTTGACTTGGGACTGAATGACTTGTGTTGGACTTGTGATTGACATGCATGCTTTGTTCACAAAATGACAAAAACGTCTAAATCTCGCAAAACTTTGTCATGAGATAATCGCATTTGAAGTTATTCCTTTTTTCAAAAGACGTTTTCGACAACTTTGCAGTAACAGAATTCGGAAATGTTTGCATTGTCCGAAAGCTTATGATTTGCTCTCCGCTACATCATACCGGTAGTTGCTTGTTAAAACTCTCTCTTGATTAAACAGTAATTCATTTATAACAAAACCTTTTTGCACTTCCATACGCAGAACATCCATATGCGGGGGCCCATATTTTCCCCATTACAATGTACACAGTTTTTATCACTGCATGGTAACATAAACTTTTTATTTGTACTTTTTGTTGGCACAATAAATCTGTGCTTTGACGCATAGAATGATAGTTGAGTGCATGCGCGTCTGTTCTCTTCCAACATCGTTCAATGCACATGTACGCTCCCATTCTTATGTGTGTGGAGCAATGCGTAATCCCTCTGGTCCTGCTAACGAGGTGACTATTTGTCACGTGAGAAGATTTTACGCTTTTTTACACTGCGGTAAAATGAAAAACACAGATTTCAGACTTTTTGTCAAATGTTTACTTACAATAATTAAGAGAGTAAACAATATTTCGCTTTGAAAGTTGGTCAAATTGTTCGTTGAGACAAATAAATAAATAACGAAAAGGCTAGTAAAACTCAAAATCGAACAAATATCGATTTTCGAGGTTTTTGTCACTTCTTGAGGAAAGCACCGATGTGATGGACTTGTGATGGACTTGTTATACCTTGTGATGGACACGACTACAACACTGGAGATACACCCATTCCCACTGGCTGATTGTAAACAATTCCTTGACGTACCTGTTGGTGACATTGCCCCAAGCTCCATGCTTATTGGTCAAGATGTTGATAGTCTTCTGCAGCAGCTGATTGGCAAAGATGTGGTCCCGCCTCCTGGCAGCCGTGATGAGATGATCACACATCTTCTCCTCTTCCTTGCATTCCATGCCCGACTGGGCACACAGGGACTACGAGAGGAAAAAAATCCACAAGTATTGAACGTGACAAGCACCGCTTGAACAAGGACATTGACAAAATGGGGGAAAGCCAACGTAGCACTAGATAGCTCATTGGTAGAGCACCGGAACGGCAATCCGGAGGTCGCAGGTTCAAACCCTGCTCAATCAATTTCTTTGTTCAACCTTAAAAAAATATAATAATGCACGTAGTCATTTTCCCTTTGTGGTTAACTTGATAATGAAAACCTGACAGAGGATAAGTGATCATGTTTTTGAACCTCAATTTACCTCAAACTCAGCGTGTTTCTGCACATCCTCGGCCCGGTGCCTGCTCAGTATAAACTCGGCCTCGTTGGCCACGCGCAGCAGGTGATCCCTAGTAGCGTGGGAGTAAATCCTGCCCTCGTTGACCAGCTCTATGAAGGCCAGGCCGGCATGTTTCTGGATGGAGTTCTGCCATTCCTGGGAGCACAGCATCATGACGAGCTCGATGACTGAGTTGGACGACTTCATGCTTACAAGACCTGGAGGGTACGTCGCAGAAAAAAACCCAAATTTTCAGAATTTTCCACGGATTTACATATTTTCATTAATTAGATCCTGTACATTATGCGTTACTGAATAACATAAACAAAAACCACCTGAGATATGACACATGACTGCAAAGGGTCCATTTGTGATAGCGCGAGGGTGCTATTCAATGAAACTCTGAGGCACATAAAGCAGTAAAATGTTAATTTATTCATTTTCATTAACTTCCCTGAATGATTTCATTATCCTCAAAGGATATCACAAAACACAAAAAGGCTAAATGATACATAAAGAAAGGTGAACCCCCATTCACTTTACATCACACAAAGGCATAAATTCCTCTTTTTTCCAGTTCAGTTCAGTAAAGAGCCATTTATATCCAACTCTGATACAAGACAGACCCGCCACAATACCTAGACACAACCCCGCCCTCCTTTGACACCTCTGCTGAAAAATATTGGCCAATAAATCTTGTCTTTGGATTCCAGCTTTTCCTCCGAGACACAGAGAAGAATCAGAAGGTGTGACTGCCTCGTTCACACCTACACGCCCCTGGGTTCCGTTACCCTATCCAGTCTGGGGTTTGTCAGTATGTCTGTCAGGGTCTTAGTGACTTGCGACGAGCCCCATTAGAACTCAGTCCAATTCCTAGGATACAAGTATCAACCTTTACAAAAAGACTTCCGCAGACGATTCACTTTTACGAAAACCCGTTGGGATTCCCAGGTTTGCCACTCCGCCAGACGCACACGGAAAGGCGTGTTTGTCTTGTAAAACGACTCATATAATTTATTTGTTTGCAAATTTGTATCTCATTGAAGGGAAACCGAATAAACAATGAGTCGTTTGGGTGATATTTCATTGGGTCGGTGCTCTTCTCATTCCTGGGGGAGAAACAGAACCCCGCCATGAAACCATAAATTTTTGGATTTTCGCAAGCAGACATCTTTGTTTCATTGAAAACGGGCAGGGGTGCGGTTGAGAAACACTGTTTAGATTAAGATGTCATTCCATCCCCCCACAAGGATGAAATATCGCGAATAAATCAAACAGGACAAAAAGTTCCTCACAAATGACTGATGATGATGTTTCTCAAAAAAAATGTTGAGTAGAAGTGACAGCAATTAGTTTGCATTTTTAAAACTTTGTGATAAGACTCGACTATTCCTTTATATACATTGTAAACCTCTTGTCATTAATAAGAGACAAGTTAATTAAAGTAATTTAAAAATAAATTGCAGAGATCCAGTAAAACTCTTGATATTAAGTGTCAATATTTACTACATGTAGCAACATCGTCCTGTTCTCATTTCTTCCATGAGTATTGACAAGACCACAAACTTCAGATAGTTAACAGGAGAAAAAACCACTGACCTTCGATGAGCAACTCCTGCCCATGGCTTCCCAGCAGGGTCTTGGACAAGAAGGGGGCAAAGTCGATAAAGATCTCCCTGAGCAACGGTGCGGCAGTCTCCAGGGCCTTGGTCAGTCGCTCCTCTACCGTCCCCTCCCCGAGGTAGCAATCGCTGAAGGAGTTGACGCTCTGCGTGGCCATGTTCTCGAGATCCAGGTTCTTGGGCCGGTTGGGGTTGGCTGGTACCCCACCCGGGCCGGTTGTCGGGACTGAGTGGTCCATGGGGAACGGCATGGCTGGGTAGGGCTGCTGGGGGTCATCGATGGAGTTCGGTTGGTTTCCGTTCTGTTCGTTTTCTTGGGCTTCGGCAGCTGCGGTGGCAGTCCACGGCCATGTCTGCAGGGGCAGTTTTTCTACACAAAAGAAACAAAATGATTTAAAACTTAGCGTCCAATTCCGTAAGTCTAAGAAGTGCCTCAATTAAACGTTTGCCCGGGACACAATTGTGGCCCTTGCTGTATCACTTGTATCTGCAGGGCGCCAGCTGAACACAAAGTTGCCAAACTCTTAGGAAACAATGAAACGATGGAATTATTTAGTTAACAAGAAGTCTAAACCTATCTAGACTCCTCCGAAAGAAAAAAGTCTTTTGAGCTTACCAACTTTCTCCGAGGCAGTGATCATAGATGAGATGGAAGCCGTGTTCAGTGGACCACCCACGGCCCCCACTGCCCCGCCTTCATCAGGACTGGACTGAGCTGACCCACTGGGAGCACTACCATTGGCAACCGCTCTACCGTTAGGCTTACTGACATCATGGAATGAAGGAGCATCACCTTCCCCTCGGCCTTGCCCGTCTGGGGATTCCCTCTCAGTGGCTCTTGCATCTGTCTCCTCATCTGTGTCTCTGGCAATCTCCTTGGATTGGACATCCTCCTCGGATGTCTTCTCCTTAGATGCCTTCTCTGGCTTATCTTCGGCAGATTCCTTCTCTGCTTCCACTTGCTCCTGAGATGCTTCCTTGGAGACAATGCTCGCATCTTCGGCAATCTCCTCCTGGATGATGCGCTTCTCCTTTTGGAGCTCCCCGTCTTCCTCCGCCTCCTTTAAGTCCTTCTGTTCCTCCCCTTCCACTACACGGTTGTCGACGTCAGGGATGTCTTTGGGAGCCGTCTGCTCATCGCTGGTCTGTGCATCTTCAATTTTCACTGGGACTGTATCGCTGTCCCTCTGCGGAGGGGTGCCGGGTTTGATGACCGGGGTTGGCTTAGTGTCTGTTGGTGGTGCCTCGATCTTTTCAGCGACGTCTGTGATGTGAACAAATAGGAAAGCATATTGCTGAAGCATCATTAACACCTTGGAAGCTTTCTAGATGGGACTCAACACTGACCAGTGAATACTGGCTCGTAAATATGCATGAGGTGTGATGTCATCTACTTACCATTTTTAATCTTCCCTTCTGTTATCTTATCCTCTCCGCTCTCTTCAGTGATTTTTGCCTCCTTCCCAACCATCTTCCCAACCTGAGGCTTGGATGCTGTCTCCTTGGCAACCGCTGCCTCCCTAGCAACCACCTTCTTCCCCAGGCGTGTCAGCACAGTCTGGGTTCCCCGGTTCTCTGACGGCGTCTCGGAGGCCAGTGATTGGCTGCTTGAGGCGTGGCTGGGCTGTTGGCGTTGCAGGGAGTTCTGACGGGAGCGGGATGAGGACGGGGTGGAGCTGCCCACCTCGTTGTCTAGGATGTCACGGTAACGAGCAACCATCAGGACTGAGATGAAGTAGACAATGGCTAGGGCTAGGAACTGAGCCTGCTTGCTCTCCTCCTGAAGAAATGATGATGGAATATATGAGGAAATCAAACCAGGCAGCTTCAAGAGCACAAGGCCATCTTCAAGAAAGTCCAATCAGCCCAAAAGTTTGTATTCTCAAAATCCCATAAAATGATTATCAATGGATTATAGGGTTCATGAATGAAAGAACTGTTTCCAAAGCAGTGAAATTACATTTTCTGAGCTCTTTTATCTTTTGTTTAACATCAGCAGGGAAATGTAAAATCAGGAAATTGTAACTGAAATGAAATCTCCAGAATGAGCTTATTTTTAAAACACTCAAGGTCAAGAAAAAAAAAGGCAAAATCTAGGACAGACCTTAGGGTCAACCAGCATCTCAAATTGTACAGCAGAGTGTGTCACACACCAAAGAAGAAATCACAAACAGACAGACAGATGGACAGACAGACAGGCCGACAAACAACTGAACTCACCACATCTCTGTAGACTACTGCCCTCAGCCGGTGTACGTCCATGTCTTGTAGTAGCCTTCCCAAATCCTTGATTGGGGACGTCGGTCCAGCCAGGTTCTCCACGATGTTCTAGACATCAAGCAAAAACCATCGTTTTATTGACAAGATAAAGGTTTCAGGGCAAGACACTTCAATATGAACCAAACTTCTATCAAATCCGTGGCTAGGATTAGGGTTTGGATTTCGGATTAGGTTTGGGATTAGGATTAGGATTAGGATAAGGTAAGGTGCTCTGTGAGGATTAGTAGTCACTGTGGTTATTTCTGGTGTGGCTTGGCAAGCAAGATGTGTGGCTTGGTGCTGTGTGATGGGTTATATAGATCTGTTATTATGTTATTATATTAATGTTATTTTCTTAATAAATTTACAGTATAAAGAAACCTGGTTAAGAAATCTATTTGTTTTGAAATGAGAGAACCTTAAAAAGAAAATAAGTTTTTAAAAAATATTACAATGATTTGCTTATCGTTTAGTTTTGATATTTTTCTTTGGTTTTTGTTTGGTCTTGGTTTTTTCTTCTTCTGAAATCATGCAAAGGAAGGGGAAATGATTGTCAGTGAATGCCATGCAGATTCATGCAAGAAATTGGTCTGAAAAATCAATTTTTTTATATTTTTTTCCGACTAAATTTGGACATTCATTCAAATTACAAATAATTATTTGAAGCTTGTCTGAAACTCAGCTCAGGCCAAACCCGGTTTTGTTTACACTGAAAATAAATTTCATTCAAGATATCTCATGGTCTTATAAGTTATACAATGATAAGACAATTTCAAGAGCAAATATATAAATATGTCAACTGCTGTCCATAAGAAAGACAATCAGCCAAGTTTGGAGCAAATTATTTCACTGTTAATATTTATAAAAACTAGATAGCAATAGAACTGAAAACAAAGTATTTGAAGAACACTTGGACAAGTGCAAGTGTGTGCAGGTTAAAGTGAAGTGCTGTGAAGTTAAACAAAAGTGCAGAGGCAACAAAATTATTTATTTCTCCACAAGGTAAAAACAAAATATGATATAAAAGATAGCAGTAATTTTTTTCCCAAAGTTAGGATCTTTTTTTTAGCCTGAATTTGTGGCACAAAAAATATGTATATTTCACAGGGGATTGAACTGATATTATTTACTTTTTATTTAATATGCCTTATCATTGCATTAATTTGTTTGCGACAACCACTGTATCTAAATTGACATCGGGGTAGTTGTTCAAAGTCATTTCATTACATTGTCATTCTAATGTTGGGTTTACAAAAAAACATATTTTTAGGTTATATTGTTTATTTATTTATTTATCTATTTTTTTATTTTGGATGGTAAAGGAAGGATATATTAAAATTCTTCTAGTTCGAAAATTAAAATCTAATCATTTCACATTTTTGATGCCAAGACGAGCCGCAAGTACCCCCTGTACAGCTTCAAAAAAATGAGAGAGATGTTTAAAAGCTTTTGCCTTGTGTACCCACTGTCCACTACAAAGAGGTGCCCATTCAGTTGAAAATTGGTCACGTTTCCTCTGTGCGGTGCGAGCGCAAACCAGTGCAGAGATTCAGTGTGACCCACACACCCTAGCCCTACCGAGTAGACAATACAGTAGCGCCCTCAACTGTTTCTGAGCGGAGTCCAAAACCAGAATTCTCTTTGCAGCCTTTAGGTGTGCCAAGATACATGTACAACTGCACTACGTTTCCTATGTGTTAATTTTCCCATTATATTAAATCCCATTAGAAGCAGTTTACAGTGCACCAAGCAAGTAGCTAAATACTTAAGGAATTAATGTGAATTTTAAGACATCTGGGACAACTAGGTATGCACCACTGTTAAGCAGATTGTCTTATGGGCTATGTGTACGAATAGAGAGGGCTTTTTTTTTTTGCTCTTCTACTTTCGAGAGCCAGGTGGACGGAAAATACAAACTACGTATTTTAGTCTGAATGTTTACATAGCCATAGTGTCTTCAGAGTGCGTTCGAGTGTGTCTCCCAGTGGTCTCCCCCAACTCTCCCTTTCTCACCATCGAGGGGGTACTTGTGCACGGAGCCATTATTATTATTGAACCTTAGCCCATTTCACAGAGTCAGTAAGCGCTAAGCTGGCCAGTTAGCAGCTCTTCGAAGTTGGATACATAGCACCAGTCTTCGACATTAGAACCCTCTTTGTTTGCCACCAAAACCACTGTTCACTTAATAATTCATTATTCCACTCTTTGTTAGCAGTAGTCCCAAAAACAGGATTTCTTTTACAATATCTTTATATTTTATAAATGATAATTCTATTGGGAAGGAAAGGAACAATGCGGGAAGAACACAATGGATGAGTTATTATGTAAAAATGACATGTTAATATGATTGATGGAAAGGGAAAAATGGAGTTTAGATGAAAAACAGCGTTGGGATGAAATGAGTTACATGTCGTGCCCAATCCACCAAATAACATAAGCACTTGAAATGATGACAGCAACAAGAATGTAAAAAAAAAATTAAAAATCGTTGATACATGATAGGTAAACTTTAGTCAACCACTCAAAATAAAAACCAACGGAAAACGGCAGTGCAATGGACATGTACCTTAAGCACCGATGGAAACTTTCCCTGTAACTAAACAAAATAAAATCCAAAATGCAAAAAAAAAATGAAAATGGGAAAAACTGGAAGGGGTCTGTCACTGTATCACATGCAGAGAGAAAGAAAGAGGGGGAGGGGCACAGGATTCTAAAAAGGGGGAGGCGACCGGGAATGAGATAGGAATGGAATGAGATAGGAATGCACTGAAACAGGCACTGATTGGAAATTTGACAGACAAACTTGCCGACGAAAAACAATATTTTTACTTCTCTGATATGATAAATGTCTTCAAAAAACTGTGTTCATTGTAAGTGCCAATTCTGAAAGTCTTCAAATTTCAGAGATTTTGTGTTCGTAATCTCAAAAATATATAACACATTTTTAGGAAATGAATCAAAACCAAGAAAAAAAGCCTTCAGCATTTTTTTAAAACTCATAATTTCAATTTTATAAATTGCAGACAAAATGCTATTCTACTAAATTGACTGTGAAAACGGAACTATATTTTGAATGTGTATTTTTTTTCATTACAATATCACTTAATGTTTTTTTCTTGAGCAGAGTGATAAAGTCTTTTTACAAATTGACGTCATAACTTTTTGCGAAGATAATAAGAATTCGGTCCACAAGAAAAAGAAAAAAGAGATTCAATAGTCCAAAGTTGGAGAACATTCAACTCATGCACAGAACCTGCAAAGTAGAAGACGTTACAAGACAAGAACTCCAGGAAGAACAAGATTTCATAGCAATCAGTTCAAGATATCAACCAACACAATTCAGAAGATTTCAAGACAGCATAAGAGGAAAACGGGGAGACAGCTTTTTAAAGAGGGGGACAAAAAAACCACAATATCTGACAAATTCTGGAACTTTTTGGCCATCAAAGTGTTAGCAGCTGGGTCATATGTTATAGGTTAATCTGGAGAGACGTCTACATATGCTCACCCTTTTCCGGGCGCCGGCCGTAACTTTTAAACCGATTGGCTGCGAGCGGCCGTCAAAATATCAAAGGCAAGACTTGGTCAGTCAATTGTATCTCAAGAACTACTTATTATAGTTTGTCGGGTGGTTTTTTTTCTCCAGAGCATTGATGTCCGTAAAAAAAAATTAAAGAAATTGTCTGGAGTGGGGTTTGAACCTGTGACCTCCGGATTGCCGTTCCGGTGCTCTAACCACTGAGCTATCAAGCCCTATGTTGGAGGTTCCCCAATTTGTCAATGTCCTTGGCTTCTGACTAGCGCCCCTTGAACAAAGACATCGACAAATTGGGGAGCTGCCAACATAGGGCTGGATAGCTCAGTTGGTAGAGCACCAGAACAGCAATCCAGTGGTCTCAGGTTCAAATTTCTTTGTTGAACTTAAAAAAACAATAATAATAATTAATATAAAACCTGTCCCAGAACCTACAACTACAATGTAAATACGTCAAATGGTTATAATTGTGGAGAGGGGCTAAATAAGACTGTTAACTTTGAAGATAAGATACACTGATATTTTGAAACTTGGGCACAATCAGAGACTCTAATACGTTCATCACTGCTTATGGTATGTGGGATGGGAATTTTTTTTTGATGAATTTGGGATTGACTGTGGAAATGTAGGGATGTATATTTCATGCAATGAGATGATTTAGAGGCTTGTATTTCTTAGGAAATCATTGTTAATGTTGGGTTTTTTTTGGCGAGTAAGGGTAAAAAGGGCATTTTAGTGCTTGTTTTAGTAAACACTTTGAGTTTAACCGACAGGGTTGAGATAAACAGCACTGCAAACTTAAAAGTGAATTTTAGATATAATCTTTTTTTTGAGAATGTCTTCTTTTTCAGAAGTACAAGCAAATCAGGCTTCCTTCTTCGAATTACTAAATTTTCACAAAAAATTGTTGTCGTAATAACTATCACCTAACAATCCATATTGAACTCACAATCTAAACAGATTTATTACGGTCCTAAAAAAAAAGTGAACACCGCACTGTTGACCTTTCCATGTGACCTCTGAACTTTGACCTTACCCTTGCCGAGGGCTGGGTGGCATTGATGAGAGTCTGTATGCGGGCAGTGGGGCTGGTGGGCTCCGTCAGGCCGATGTTGCTGAGACTGAGGTGGCTTGAGCTGGGTGATGGTTGGGTGCGGAAGCGACACTCCAGGACGTTGCGGATGGCACAGAAGGTGGCTGTTGAAGAGGACGGAAATGAAAGAATATTTTTATTTCCATTATGAGAAACATTTCTAGCTAAATATCGATCAACTAAAGGCTTTAAATATGGGTTTTGCACGTCACCAATGTTAATTTTTGCTGCTGATTGAAAACCCACAATTAAAATGAAGGAGTTAATGAATATATACAAATTAAAATCTATTTTGGAAGGTTCCTTACTTCAAATCAAACTTACAAAAATTAAAACAAAATAATTATTCAAAAAGTGCACTTGAAACTCCAAATTGTTAATGTTCCTAAATTCTTGACTGGCAATGAAGGTCTATAATTCTGATAATATTAATATTTATGTTATTCTGATACTTGAGTCATTCACTAGCTTCAAGACTAGGTTTGTTTTCTCAATTCTTAAGGAACACTAGGGATTGTTTACATCAAAAGATGCAGCCACTTACTGAGTCTCAGACACTGTCTGAGGATCCCTCCTCGCGGCATGTTCTTCTCCACTTCCAACTCTCCAAAGTTCTGATTGCTGGCAAAGACCAAGACGTCTACAAGGTTCATGATGCGATTGATGAAGGAGATGCCGACCTCTAAGGGTAGACCCTGGGTGGGCTCGATCACGTCAGGCTCATGCTAGAAAAGAGAAGGGGGCGGGGATGGTCAAGAATCATACAGCGTTAAACTTGATCAAGAATTTGCGGAAAATACAAACGTAATGTTGACTGACTGTTTGTATTCTTTTTTTCCCTTTTTTTTTGAAGTGAGTAAGCTTTGAAAGTTCTTAACTTAGCATACACGTAAGTCACCTCTGTTTTTCTGCCTTTTTGGGGAAAAAATAATTTTTGAAAAAATGAAACACAACCAGAAACCATAATACGTGTGTCCTTGAGTAAGCAACTTTACTGCAATTAGTTGTTTTGTTTTCATTTTTTTATTGGAAGAAAAATTTGACAAGTCCAACAATTTGTAAAATTCTTCTCTTTTATTCTGCCTTTAATGTTTTGGGGATTAACATTTTGTTAAGATTATCCAAAATAGGGGTCTGTGCAAGATTCACGAGGCAAACTGTCTCAAAATGCAAAGCACCATCACATCTATTTCACATGTGTCAGTCCACGAACATTCATCCATTCATTAAATTCATTCCCTAGTGCCATTCAGTTATATAATTAATAATCAAAATTCAAGCTGTTATTCAATACTTGAAAATCATGCAGAACTCAAACTGGTATGAAACAATCCCCCCCACAAAAACAAGTTAATAGTTATCAAACAGAAACCCCAATCCAAAAATCAGTCCATAGTGTATTATATCAGATGCTGTATCAAGATGCAAACATGACTGCCATGCTGAGACTTACTAGCCACCAACGATAGTACAGAGGATTGGCAATAAGAAGATGGCCCTTTAGGATTGGAAAGAAACAAAATGTACAAAAACATTCTCCATTTTTGGAACTTTCTAGACTTTCAAAGGCAAGCATGTAGGCACATTTGCAGAAACAGTTTATATAATTAATACATCTAAGGCCCGTCTCAATCATATCCGGGACATTCCGGACAAGTTGTGGACATTGTATCGGGTATAAATTGCAGGGTCCTGAACAACTTTCCTACGATCTTCCCGCAATGAAGTTATCAGTATTGGCGAGCCAAGCAGTTGTTAATGAAAATTTTCCCGGAACATGTCCTGGAAAAAAACAGAGCTTCTTCTAGACAAAGTGAAAGATTCTACTCGCAACTGGTCTGGAACTCGTCCCAGATATGAATTAAGATGGGCCCTTATTTTCAGATAACTAAACTTTACAGAAAAGATGTGCATCTGGCTAAATCAGACAAAATGAAGAAAGTGCAATTGCGTTACATATTTTCTGTGAAGTTTTTAATGATGCAAAGAAAAAAATGTTACAACTACTTGACTGATGAGCTGACTGCAGTGTGCATAAACTCAATGTACACATTCCTATACCAGCAGATGTTGTATATAGACCTTTATCATGCTTCCACCATTTTAGTCATGTTCCCTGTATCCAATAACAGTACTGAATGATAATGTTTTTGTGCAAAAAGGAACCAGACTATTTTTTCTTCCAGCCTCGTTTTCATTACATTGATCTGAATGGGAACAAATCGCGGCAACATGATCATGGTCTATTGACTACAAACAATGTGACACTGCAAGAAACTAGTATAGCGCCCTCAACAGCCTGTGCACATAGCAGATAGGAATTCTCAAGATAATTTAGTGTTGTCTTACACTTCTAGATGTTGCAGAGGACAGCATGGGGAGGATGCCGCCCGATGAGTAGATGAGGTTATCCATGATCTGGGAGACCATCTGGGTCACGTTCTGAACAAAGATGGTGTTCTCAGCCGCGTTGACGTAGTCAATTACTGTCCTGGTGTTGTTGCTGAGGAAAGATAAATACAATAAAAGAATTATCAAGATTGTTAATAATGAGCAAAATTGGACTGTTTAGAAAAGCCTTTTAAGAGGAAATTTCAAGCTTTACAAGATTCACACAGTATTTCCCAATGGTTAATGAAATCAGCGCGAAGTGAAAAAACAAGGAAATGTTGCGTGCCTGTAAAGGACTTTGATGTAAAAAATAGTTTCCAAACAATTTTGCCTTCCAGTAATTCTTGATGATTTGTATTTGGTAAACTAGAGCTGCACTGTTATTATTACCCCTGCTCATCACGCCCATTAAACTCTCAGTCTACATTTTCCACACAAATAGCAAATTTGGCACAAATAGCAAAGCCAAACACAATAACAAACTCTGCCCTCACAGGCGCCTATTTACTCTTGCCCAGGGGAGGAGCATCTTGTGGTATGGTGTCTTGCCTAAGGACACAACTCAACAACCCCAAAGGCTCCATGTGAATCCGTAATTAGTAGAACCACTAACAAGATCTTCAGCCTAACAAACTTCACCCTGCAGCCAGGGTGTTCAAATATGCGGGACGTCATATTCAAATCGATGGAACTTAAAGCCAGAGTCCATCATTTGCAGCTATCCAAAAAGTAACTGGAGTAATTATTGTTGAAAAACATACTTGGTTGAAAGATAGTAAGGGAACTAAACTCCCTGTGAAATTATTCTTTCTGGTAAGCTGTCATTCTTAAGAAATCAGCGACAGAAGGCCTTTCCAACGGTGCGTCTTAAGAAATCTCTGTTAGTAGCTCGTTATTTTATTCGGCGAAGCGCGCGAAAACCTTGACACGACGCTCACGCGCGCGCGGTGCTATAATTGGTTAGATCAGTGCACGACATCGCGTAGCTGCAATCGGCTCAGTGAGAACGTGTCTTGGACGCTGAATGCAGGCCCAATTCAAAACATGATTCAGCAACTTTTGATTTAAAATTGAGATCCTAGAATGTTATTTTTCTCGAAATATACAGCTGAAGCTGAGCTAAAACTTCATCAGGTCAGTTGTTCAGCACCCTTCTTTAGAGCACTTTTGTTGCTTCAAACGTACAAAATGCAGAAATTACAAATGATGGACTATACCTTTAAGATGCAACTGGCTTACTTGACTACGGCTTGTCATAAAGTGTGTGTCTATGGAAGCGGCTGCATCCACTTCTCATAGACACTTGTGTAACAGCTAGCCGTAGCCTTGGATGCAGCCTTACCTTCGCCAAACTTGTATATCTGTCTCGATAGCAAACAGAAGATCTGACATCATCCGCTGATGCATCCCAGACCAGCAGAACTCCGGGATGCGATATGGGGCCTGGTGGGGACCGGGGCTGAAGAACCGGGAGCCTTGCCTGCTCAGTGACGCCTGGTCCTCCTCTGGCTGTCGCGGCTTGGCGGCCGGTAACCACTGGTTACTGGCTGGGAGATGGGCACCGGTTTGCGAGCCCTGGGCTCCGGGGAGTTGGCTGGCTGCCAGGGGCGTAGGGTGAGAGGCAGTAGAGCTGGTGGCAGTGGAATCGGAGCTGGCAATGCTGACTGCTGATTGGTCAGAAATATCCTGGATTGGGAACAAGAGAGACTCAATTAATAAGTGGTTTGAATAAAATAAGTCTTTAACTTAACACAATTGAGAAATTAGGTTGGGTATCTTGAGTTTAATTTTCTTTGAAAGAGAGAGCATCACATACCATGTTTCATAGCAAGATAAGTACATTTCTAAATGTTAAGTTTTCAAGTTATTGAAAATTTCAATTCCCGCAGATGTCTGTTTAGCACAAAATGCAACTGAACCAAACTCAATTTCATTTTGTACAAAATACCACATCGACGGTTCTTAGTGAGTAGTTCATAATGCATCATATTCTGTTCCTTCACAATTAGGTTAAAGTACAGCTCTAAATAGGAAACAATCAACCCCTCTTCCCCCCCCACAAAATCAACAAGACCAGCCTACTTTGCTTGACTCCTCCTCTGGAGATTTCTCCTCACTGGGTGTCGTCGTCACATCCGGTGATGTCTCCTCGCTACCGTCCGCCTCGTCCCTCTCCGTGTCTTGCCCCTCGGGGGCGCTATTGCCATCTACAATCTTGACGACATCGCTGATCAGGCCCTCTAGGATTTCAGTCACGGCATGCTTGCCATCTACGACCTCCGGTTCAGGTTCTGTGTCAGGTTTTCTTGAAGACAAGATTTTCAGGAAATGACCTTAAACTAAAACCTGACATCATTGTTCTCCTATCATTCTCAGCATATGCTCAATCTAACCAGGTTATTATAAATTTGCAATTCACAGGTCCATCATAATTGGTTTTGCCGTCAGCTATTTATTAAACCAGATTCTGCAGTCATGAAACCCTGTGGTCCACGCACTGCAGGCTGCTTTACCAGGTCTCGTAAATATGGATTCAAACCAAACCAGAGAATAATAAACCTTGTGTCCCTGAGCTAGGTATTTTACTACAACCAGCTTCTTTCCTTAAATCAGGCATGCAACTGGAAATTTAGACAAAAACGAGGAAACTCCAAACCACACAAGACTTTGTACAGTGTTTTTCAATTTGTAATGGCATTAATGAGAAGTGAAAAACGAGGAAATCAGTGGATTCGAGGAAAAGTTGCATGCCTGTTAAATAAAAACCCAGTGTTTGAAGACTAGTTTTCCAAGGTTCAATGAGACTCAAAACACAGGATTTTTCATGAGCTCTCAAACAACCCACTTAAATCCTCTTTGCTCCCCTGCGATAACCCCCCCCCCCCTACTCCTTCCCATCCCCTTACCTTTTATCTTCCTCCCCTGCCCCCACTGCAGCCTGACCCTCCCCTGCCGCCTCTGCAGCCTGACCCTCCCCTGCCTGTTCACCGTAGCCGGCCGTCATGGCCGCCAGCGGGCTGACAGAGTCTTCATGATACAGGTTCTCCAGCTGGGCGGCGTTGATGGCTGCCGAGATGCTGGCCGGTGGCCCGCTCCCGTCGGCGCCCTGCGAGTTCTGGTACTGGTTGAAGGCCTTCAGGAGCTCCTGCTTGTGCTCTTCAAAGGAGACCTTATAAAATGATCAAGAAATAATAATCATCAGGAGTTTTTACAAATTACCAGAGCTTTTTTTGTTATCTCTCCTTTTTCCCCGGCTCAAAAAGCAAACAGTCAAGTATCTGAACTCCCTTCAGCACATAAACTATGTGAGAGTTAATGTTTTTGGCACCCTTGGCCATAATTAACAGTGTATGTTGTGGCAAAGTGTCTTGCCTAAGGACACAACTCCATGGCCTTCAGCTTCTTGACTGTCCTGAGCCTGTCCACTGCCCCCCTTTTACAACCCTCCTGTCCCCTTTCCTCTCACCTTAGAGTGAATGATAGACAGCGTATCCACCCAGACCCTCCATCCTCCCCACTCATACTTCATGGCGTGATGCAGCAGCATGCGTAGCAGGGAGTAGACCATCTCGGTAATCTTCTTTTCCTCCTCGGTCTTGGGGTAGATGTTGGCCAGTCCGATCATCCAGTCCTGCCAGACGGAGCACTGCAGTAAAATCCTGAAGAAAACACAGAGTAAGAACCATTAATTAATTAGAAAAGAGCACCAAAAACCTGTGGAAAGCAAGTACTTGGCCAAACCCACAGTATGCAAGCACAGTGTCAAATGCCAAAGTTGTTATTTCTCACTGATAAATGGCAATTTCTCACTGTCAAAGTGCTTGTTTAAAAAATATTGAAATGTTTTGTTTTAAAACAATATTTTTCACGGGATTGAAACAAGGTTTTCTCTTCCATTACATTTTGATTTATTTCAGAATTCCATTGAGAAATTTCAGATATTTGATTATAGGATGAGATAGACTCATGCATAGATTTTGTGGTAATCAACTGAAAATGGAGGAAAAAACCCCGAAATTCCACAGAAGGCTCAGCTAGGGTAGCGAAAGTAAGGTCCACTGAATCAGGAAAATTTCACAACTAGGACCCCAAACTCCACAAATTCAAGGAAGATGAGATGTTATAATTCCCCGAGGCTGACCTCCTGTTTTCCCTGCTGTGGTTGAAGAGCAGAATCATGTCAGACAGGAAGAGTTTCTTGACCTCCACGGCAGCCTCACTGGGTGCTGACTGGCGGAGCAGACGAGCAGTCACGTGGAAAATACCTGGGGTGAAAAAATAGAAAACCAGGGTAAGAGGGAAATCTGGGTAAAAATATCCAGAAGTTTGTTTGTAATACATCACAATGGCAGACAATTCTGAGCAGTTGTCACGAGCATTTGTGTTATACAATTTTGGAGAAACGGAATATTCTTATCTGCTGGCCAATTTCCATTGCAAGAAGTTGTCACTGAATTTGAAAATTCTTCACGTCGAAGTTGGATTTATTAAACTGAAGAAAGTACAAGTTTCTGAGTAGTTGTCTAAAGCTGTTGGATGATTATCTAAGATGGGAGGAGGGTGGAATATTCATATTTGTCTCTCCTACAAGCAACATTTTGGTCAGATTCTCTAGCCATCTGACTCGACACAAACTAATTACTGAATTTGGGACTTTGTCCTTAATCATGCTTCAATTTGCTGGGAGTGATGTAGGACATTATGGAGCTGAAAAGAGTTAGAGGGGATATTTTTGTTATCTTACCTGGGTTCATGACCTTGTAACTTTTGTCTGGTTTGATGTGGCTCCCTGTGACTACTTGAAGGCTCACATGCTCTGTCAGTAACTGAGGACAAAATCAAAATTATCAATCATTGATCAATCAATCATTGATCAAGCAATCACTGATAAATCAATCATTGATCAATCATTCATTGATCAATCAATCACTGATAAATCAATCATTCATTGATCAATCATTCATTGATCAATCAATCAATCAATATTAATAATGATAATGAGATTTATAGAGATATTAACTTTAAAATGTTAACAGAAAACCAGAAATGAAATCCTACTGTTTTGGTGTGTCTAGTTGCTGTTATGACTCAGAATGAACAACAAGAAATAACGGAAGTCTATCTCTCAAGAACAATGTCTAGTCCATTTCAAAAAAATCAAATAAAACAAAGTGGTTTCCTGCGAGCTGTGACTTCACACTAGTTGTCGCCCTTACCTCAAACAAGCAGTTGTACATGATCATGGAGAGTGAGTTGCTCGTGAGTAACAGTCGCTCACCCAGCAGTGAGTACAGGTTGTGAGCGTACATCAAGTCCATCTTCCTCCTGAAAAAAGACACAAACAGCACATCGGTGAGAATGTCTTAAAGATGAAATCATTATGAAATGTGGTGGGATTTACACAGAACTGACAGGCACAAGGAAACACATGGAGGAGATGTTAATATATTTCAGTGACAACCAACCAGTGCACAGACATTATTTCAACAAATTTAAACGGCGAACATTTTTAAAATCAGCGTTCTCTACTTACTTGTGTGGTAGACGGCTGAGAAACAAGGCCAGAACCTTGATGGCCATGGCACGGACTATCTCATCACTGGAGGCAAGCAATTTGTAGATCACTCTGGCCATATGAAAAAGGAAAAATGATACTCTATGAATAAAAATCACCAAATTGTTTTTGTTACAAACTTTTTTTTGGCTGTTGGTTTGAAAGTTTGAAGTTTGTTCTGCTTTCCTGAGCATTTTCTATTAGAGATGAATAGAAAATATTGTTTTTACTGTCCACTGATGGTTTTGAATAAATATCATTTGTTAACCGGCCTTACCTGACACCGTTCTTCCTGTCAAAAGCTACGGCCATCCCGTTGGAATTCTCTGCCATGAGAGACAGCAACAACTGCAAGACATCTTTCAAATTGACATCCTGAAAACAAATATTACACAAGTATAAAGATCAGATCAAATAGGTTTCAGATTAGCTTTAAACGCCACAAATTGCTTTCTTAAAATATTCTCGATGATGTAATCAATCTTAAAAATGATAGTCAATCCAAATCTCCTCCAAGTTGGGGATCATGTGACACCTTTTTAATGTTTTCAAAAATTTTAGAAGCAAGCTCAAAATTGACAAACTCCTTTAGTAGTTTTTTGCAACTCCCAGATTTTGAGACCCAAGTTCAGAAATGGCGACTCCCTAGTTGCCATGGCTACCAACCTCATGAATAGTCATGAGATAGTTGAGGATGATCTGCAGCTCCTCGTCATTGGCCGATTTCTCCTTGAGGATCAGTTGCTTAGTGATGCGCAGGATGAGCGCCCTCAGGGTCAGCAGGTCTTCTGTGTTCGGCCGTGGACCATCTGTAGCACAAATGTAAGGAGTACAGATTGGAGGCAAAACAAAAAGTATCAAGTGTCGATAAACTCATAGACATGATTATGAAGAAAACCTAAGAGAAATCGGCTGTGGTAATTTGATTGCGCCAATCTCACTGCTGAAGGAAAGGGGGAAGTTCTCGGGGTTGAAATATTGGGATAAGAGCCAAGCGTGATAGGACAGACTGTTGATTCCCAAAGTGTCTATGATTTGAAATTTAAGAAGGACTTATTTAATAGAGTGGCCAAACGCAGTGAATGATTCTATCTAAAGTTTGTCTGGAACTCGTCCCGGATATGAACTGAAACGAGCCCCAGGCACAAAAATCGGCTAAGCTATTTTATCCGCTTAGTAGCTCACTTTTGTTGGCCCTTGGTATATAAGTCAGTACTAGGTGAATAAATTTGCTAAGAAATATGCTTATGACTTACCCAGCCCCTTTGGGCCAATCCCACTGCGGTCTTCCGGGTTGACGACCCAGTAGTAATACTTGAGGGTATGCATGAGCTGCAGTACAGTGCTGACCCGACGGATGTTGGTGTAGATGGTGGACTGACCAACAAACTCATTGGACAGGAATGTATACAGGGAGATCTGGGTCTGTCAAATGCAGAAAAAAACCTTAAAATTTAAGTACCAACAGGGATAATTACGCAGGGGTGGAGTTGTTTCCAAATGCTAACAAGCAAACAGAATCCAAGCTAATATGCTTGCAAAAAGAGGTTTTTTTTGTACATGTTAAGACACAATCACCAATCTTCTGAAGTTACCTGAAGAAATTTATCAGTATTTTTTGGACAAAATGTTTGCCAAAATGCTTGTCAAATACGAAGTCGTGGCTCTCGCAAGACTTCATTTGTAGTTTTCATTTGTAGACTTCAATTTTAGAAAGCTTTGTTCCACCCCCGTGATTTAGGAACTACCTTGACTGGCGTGTGGATCCACAAACAGGGGTTGAATAGGATGTGATCCACTAAGTGTCTCAACAGCTGGATACCAGCCAGTTATCAGCCAAGACATTAATAACATCGGACAGATCGAGGCCTACCTTGACTGGCGTGTGGATCCACAAACAGGGGTTGAATAGGATGTGATCCACTAAGTGTCTCAACAGCTGGATACCAGCCGGTTACCAGCCAAGACATTAATAACATCGGACAGAACGAGGCCTACCTTGACTGGCGTGTGGATCCACAAACAGGGGTTGAATAGGATGTGATCCACTAAGTGTCTCAACAGCTGGATACCAGCCGGTACACCGTTGTAATACTTGGCAAGATCCAAGAACAGCTCCAGTGCTGTCTCTGTCATGTGCTTCATGGACGCCTAAAAATATTTTTATAAAGAGGAACAGAAGTCACATCAAGATGATTGTTAAAGAACCGCTGTGATTTCTAAAAGAATCCAATGCTGGATTTTGCCTTTGACTTCACAAATTATCAAGATCATTTTATCAACTCCAGTGACTTCAAGAGAGAGTATAAACCCATCCAATATCTCAAGAAACCATGTCTTGAAAGCAAGACTCACTTTTTGTAAGAGGTACCCCAAGATGACAAATCCTCTGCCTTGTACCATCTGCTGCTGAGTTGACATGGATCCCTTGAGTAGATCACACAGTAGATGCAGGAGAAGCGGGCTGCAAGACGACACGGGGAGAAGGGTTAAGCACTGAGTGAAGTTTCATCAAGAAAGGAGGTCGCAGGTTCAAACCGAGCTCCAATCAATATTTTTGTTTGACTTTTAAATTCATTATTATAATGCACCTAATCAGTTTCCCTTCTTTGGTTTGTTTCAAAAATGGAGTAATGATCCATCCTGGCGCCGATGATACCGGGGGGTACGTACCAGACCTCAGGGTTAATTTTGTCTTCTTGTCCCTCCTCGGTGGCCGATTGGACGTAGTCCAGTTGAGTGAAGAGAGGAAAGATCATGTGAATACCGCCGATGGAATGCAAGGTGCTGTGGATGGAATGTGTCACGATGGCTCGCACATCCTGACAAGAAGAATGATGAAATCAAAAACTGATTACAGATTTCAAAATCACAAATCAGGATCCCACACACATGCCCCGTTATCTTAAATTCTGCCTTCCCTTCTATCTCCTCCACCCAATTGCATCCTATAAAAAACAAAAGATGAACCAAGGATCTTGAGCCATGGACCACAGACCAAACACCATGGTTTGTGGACCATGGAGTACCATGGACCATGGAGGACCACTGGACCACACCATGAACCGTGAACCACAGACCAAACACCATGGTTTGTGGACCATGGAGGACCAATGGACCACACACCATGAACCTTGAACCACAGACCATGGACCACTGACAATGGACAACGGACCATGGATCTCTCACCTGGACCATAAGAGCATGTGGAGAATGCACAAAGTAGGAGGGGTTGCCCTTAGGAGATGAATCCAGACATAGCTGAGACTCGGTAGCAGCTGGGCTGTACAGGAACACGATGCTGTTGGTCATCTTGCCATCATAGAGTATCTTCTTGTAGTGCTCCGAGAGGCTGACGTCGCTCTCTGAGTGGAACTTGAAGTGGCTCTGTGAAATCACGATTTTTGAAATATATTTTAAAATTTTGTTGTGAACCTTATTCACAGAACTGTTAGACAGCAACTAACTGTTGGAATAACACTAGCTAATCCTAATTTCTGGTTGTGGATTTTTAGTGGAACAGAATTGACCTGATCAGGAGCAGAACCTGAAACCTGCAGAACACTGCTGAAATGGTGCCTGTACAATATTCCTGAGGTCACAGGTTCAAATCCAACTACAGTCAAAATATTTACTCCACTTACTGTTGATTAAAATTGAACTTAGTCAAGATTCCCTTCCTTTGAAGCTTGGTTGCGACTTGCCTCTTCTAGCACAAGCGCAAAGCAAATGGTACACTAAATTCACTCATTCAGTTTACGTGCATTGCATACAAGCCACATTTATTTTGTTTATAAGAGCCATCTGAAATAATAATATCCATTGATAAAATGTGGCCGTTACCCTGTAGTTTGGTCCGAGCAGGTACATGGCGTGCACATGATGTGGGGTAAGAGCCTCGCTGAATAGATAGACAGATGACATCTGGCCACAGAAGGTCCTCTCCTTGTCTGCTGTGGGTGCCGAGCCCAGGAAACACTTGTCAAATGGCTGTAGGTTAGGAACAGGTGGGAAGAAGGTATCTGAGGTTATCTGTGATTATCTACAATTGATTAAGATTATCTGTGTCTGTGATTGTCGTTGATTATCTGTGATTGTCGGTGATTATCTGTGATTGTCGTTGATTATCTGTGATTGTCATTAATTATATGTGATTGTCGTTGATTATCTGCGATTGTCTGTGCATGTCTGTGATTGTCTGTGAATATCTGTGATTGTATGTGATTATCTGTGATGACCACTTATGACCCATGGGAAAAGTTCACTTTTAACATATACCTAGCATTTTAAAATTTTCAGTGACGAGCAAGAAACACCAGGAATATTATTCTAGCATCTGGATATCAGACAAGGAGTAATGACATTATTCAAACTTCTGTTTAAGAGGTAAAGAGGCAACAACAGAAGAATAATGCCGTTTGGAACGGGCATATTCCACAAGACAACAATTCCATGCACTTGCTTTTTATTGAACATCTAAAGGCAAACAACTGAAGAAAAAATCTGAAACTGAGATCAAGTAATATTTCATACAATTTTCGCAGAAGTTCATTTCAAGAAAAAATTCCATCGGGTGAGTATTACTACAAAGGATAGCAATTCACTAATTAAAATAATATTCTGCAGAGCAAAAGGTTAGATTTCTTGACCTCGCTATATTTAGCGCCATTTTCATTGATTTTTTCTTTTTTTTGTTCCATATTACTCACTTCACTGGCCGCCACATGCCACTGCATTTCTCCTGAAGACACTAGCTCACCGTTGACATAGCAACGGATTTCACTGGCTCTCCACCGGTTGTACACGTGCACCACCGTCACCATGTTCCACTAAAATAAAATAATAATAGAAAAATTAAAATAAATTACTAATCACAAAAGATGTGTCCGTTGTGTTCTACACAAGATAAATTATCTATTATGATGATGATTGAAAGTGCCAAAAAATTTAGGGTGGTGCTGGTTACTTAATTTAAAAGTCAGTGCTTTGATATGATCAGCCCTCGGGAACCAGACAAGATGGCTGCCTGATAAAGGTCTTTGAAGTGTTACCTTGTGATACTGTTGGATAACAGCTTTGCCAAAGAGAATGCAATTTAAACGAGGGTTCAGGTGTGCTTAAAGTCCAGCAAAATGACTGCGCTAATGTTTCAAGGACATGATGGAGGTCTGAACAGGCAATTTTAACTGGGAAGGGTTGCTTCAGTAATTATAATTTATAATTATAAAAATGTTCCCCCGACTAAAAATTTATTTTTATTTTACCAGGGTAGTCCCATCAGTTATCTAAGAACTGTTCTCCCTGGGGGCCCTGGATTAAAACATTAAATAAAAATTTAATTGTCAAAAAAAAATGTGACTAATAATAAAGGCTTTTTATTCTCAATTTTTTGTGATCAAGATTATATCATTAAATGAGAGCAAAGACATAAACGGACAAACTAATTGAACTCAAGGTCACAATCAATCATACACTGCCGAACCACCAGTATCCAAAGCCCCTAGGAAGAAAGGAAGTGATTGCGGTAAAATATCTTGCCCAAGAACACAAATTGAACCCCTTGTCTGTACCCACCTTCCTTGGCTGGAAGTCATGTTTGATGCAGTGTTGGAACCCTTTGCCTTTGATCTTGACCGCTGTGATGACCAGACACGATCCCATGAAATGACCCGAGTAGCCAATACCTTTGCCCGTCCGGAAACTGCATAAAAAAAAAGAGAATTTAATTCAACATTCTTTCAAGAATCAACTCAAAAACGACTAATTTATCAAATTTATTTTAAAAATGGAAGACAAAAGCCCGCTTACTGATAGAAAGACCTCAAATATATTAAAATTGAAATTTATGATGTAAAGACCAGAAATATCAATGTCTGATCTCCACCTCAAGCCTTCATTTTTTTTTTTAACTTTCATACTAATTCCTGGGTGACGCCGAAATAGATGCTGCATTACATAAAACGATTATCTTTACATCAAAAATTTGCAAAATTTTCAGTTTCATAACATGCAAATGCAGACTATTTTAATGACTTTGGAAATTTGATAAAACATTTGTAAAATACTGCAGAACCAATAGCTGAGAATTCATGTTTTTAATAGAAATGCTTTATACCTGAAGTATTAGATATAAGTACCACGATCAAGAACTTACAGCAAGCTAAATAACTGCCCGTTCATTGCATTTTCAGCATAAGCCATGATCACGCGAATGGAGGTCCCTCGGCGCTGAAACATATCTCTTTGGTAATTCTGAATTTATGACTTGCATTTAGGATGAAAGATTTGGTTACAAAGGTTTCCATTTTCCAAGAGGGGGAACGACATTATGCTGCGTTATGACTCGTTATTTCAATTTTGCGTCCAGGGTTGCACGGATGATTAGATAAGTTGAAGTATTTTCTCTTTTGTTGATTTCCTTTACACGTGGCTGTCCATGTGCCGGGCACTGCCCTGCTGATGCTGTCTCATCAGTATCACAAGGTCTTACAAACAAAGCTCTCACGTCATTGGTCCATAATGCTTAGTTTTCACTTTAACATAAAAAACAAGCCAATCAAATTACAAGTTATCAGGGAAAACAAAGATGCTGTTTCCAAGCTGCTATCAAAAATAAGCCAATCAAAAATGTACAAGGTCTCAAGAGAGAAAAAAAAAACTCACATATCAGTTTTCCACAATGCAACATTTTCCAAGCTAATATCTGAAATGAACTCATGAAAATTACACTGTCTCAAGACTTAACAAAGCATTAAACTCATTGGTTCTATATGCTGATTTCCCAAGCTTTCATCAAAGATGAACCAATCACAATACAGGTTTCTCAAGAGAAAACAAAGCTCGCATTTCATTGGTCCATAAGATTGATTTTCAAAAAATCATCAAAGATGAGCCAATCAAGTTTCTCAAGATAAAACAAAGATCTAAATGTTTCACTGGTCCATAATTTGCCAAGACCAAATTTCAAACATTTATGAAAAATGAACCAATGAAAATTACAAGGTCCTATGAGAAAAACAAAGTTCTTATTTCATTGATCCATTGTGTTAATTTTCCAACTCGTCATCAAATATGAGCCAATCAGCTACCCGGTAAGTGAAATTACATTGTCTCAAGGTAAAACAAAGCTCTCATTTCATTGGTTCATTATGTTAATTTCCCCAGCTACCCTCCCAGCTGAGCCAATAGCTGCTACTCTACTATGAGAGTGCTTGATTGAGGTCGTTCCTAAAGTTCAAGTTGTCTGTCGTGTAATTGATTCCTAATACAAAGGTCACTGATCTTTCTACCGTGGAATAGGAAGCCAAGTTCCAATGTTGCATGGCAAAATTAATCATCACAAGTCAAGTTCCACCCGACTACTTATTTCTAGTGACTCACCACACAAATACTGTAATTCACAATAATATGTGTTGTCAAGCAAATTGCGCATTTGTACACAAAAAAATATAAACCTAAACACATTCAACATAAAATTAGAATCTGTGCATGCTTGTTTAAAGGAAATCTTGCGACATGTGAATAAATTTTAAAATCTAATCTTTGTCAAATTAAGAGATTAACCTTGTGTACATATACTTCAATGAAATACAAATAATTATGTGTAGTTATTCAAACAGTACGCTCAAATGTGAGGCGTTTTGGCAAAATGAGACAGAACTGGGCAGAGGTCAAAATGAGGGTTTGCGGGTATTAGAAGAAAGAAAATAATCCTTACAATACTGTTTGTTGCACTTCAATCGGACATTCCGGTGACAAGTAAAGGCTGTTTAAAATTCACATTTATCGATGTGTCAAAAAGTAACATACTGAGAAAGTGGCCAGTAAAGTTTCGAAATGTGTAGTCCTGGAAATGAAAGATGCCAATTGTTTTTTCCATAAAAATATGTTTATTACACAATTTATGTATTTCTTTAAAATACAGAAATGTTAGTACTTAAACATATCAAAGATAACAAATATCAATAAATCTGAAAATCGAAGGAAAAAAATCATCCCCATTCTATTTTTTCACATTTTTCTCCACTAAGGCCTGTGCCTAGTTCCGTCTCTTTTTGGCAGAATGCCTCACAATTTATGAATACTGGACGACAGAATCACAAATTTATATTTCTCAACATACAAGTTCATGAACATGAACATGTGTTTTGTGAAGGCAATCGATAGTCACGTGCAGTGTGCATGTGCCGGTAGACAGGATAATTTATGACTTTAGAGATTAAACTGTTGCCATTTTGTTGAGAAATGAGTCACCTGTGAATCACTGCCACAATAGTCAAATCAAGATAAAGTAGCTGAACACTGCATGTGTGTTACTTACTGTGAAAGACAATAAATGACAATTTATTCAGTGAAGATTTTTAAATGAATCTTTACTCATTGTAATTTCCGCAGATTATTAATAAATTAACAGAACAAATGATTATCGGTTAGGGCCTATAAGGAAATTAGCAAGAAAGATCTTCACATGCATTTGTGTCATTAAAAAAAATGATAAGTACGGTACGTGTATAACTTTAGTAAGGCAGAAAATATTGAACACTAATTTGATTTTAGACACTGACATTAGAGTGCTGCATGAAAATTTACAGTGATGTTTGACCAAGATATTGTGATTTCAACATCAAGAATTTCTCAGACTAGGAACAGGTTCACAATAATGGATTAGTCATAAGGGGAACTCCCTCCACAAGAAGTACTCAGTCATTTCCTGCACATTGCAATGTACATGTGAATATTGTATTTGTATTCAGAGTCTGGGGTAAATTACAAGTGAGTACATTGCAATTTTACCGTTTTGTGTTGGAACAACAGGCAGATGCAAGAATGTACAAATACCACTGAAGCACATGTATCTGATGAACGGATAATTAATGCTAGGTCAAGGTTAATGGGTGTTTGAATGCACACTGTGTCTATAAAAAGACGACACTGCTATCTTTGGCATATGCGATATGCAACCCATTAGCTTTTAGGCCATACCTAGGAAAATATGGCACATGTTAACAAGTGTGCACACAGTGCAGAATACAAATTGTACATGTACATGTATGATGCTAATTCATAACCAACCACATTACAAACGCAGTGACCTATATATATTTGTCTCATGTACGGTACATGTACAATGTATATTCATGTACTGACTTGCCATATGTTGCAATGGTAAAACCAGAATGAGCACATTTTTCCGTCGATCCCAAAGGACGAGAGCTGAAGTTTGCCGGCAATATTTTCGTTCCTGATTATCGTGAATTCGAAGCGATTACAACCTCAGTCCCGCCGACTCGATATTTACCATCGCCCACTGGCTAATCAGGACCGATGGGACTCCGGGCGAGAGGTTGTGTAAGGGAACGGATTCTGTGTTGTTACAGACAACAGCCCGACGGATTAGCCGGAAATAAGTCATTCTGATTGGGGCTTAGTCTTCTAACAAACACAACAAAAATTAAGAGACGGCTGTGCAAAATTTGGCTGGGACTGGGGAAAAATGAGACCCAAGTTGCCTTATGCATTGCAAGACGGAAATGATCAGTCCAAAACTCACAGGAAATAAATGTACACTATTTCAGCATGACTTGCGCAACAATTCTACAAAAAATCTGACTTTCAATATTCTGGCAATTATACCGGTACGTGTACAATAACTTCATATCACTTGTTTTCAATACCTAATTCAGCATATGCATCAGTTAGGTATATATTGTCAATGAAATTATAATTATCAAACTGATATTGTCGGGAGATCACGATTTAGTCCATGGCAAGGTGCCAAAATAATTACCTAAATCCATAATTTTAGCCCTCCAAAAACCCCAAGTTTTTTGACAGACAAAAATATACCACATTCCATCTTGCTAACACACCTTTCAAATTAAAGGTTGTGTTGTCCCTTTTAATTTGACACCACTTTTGTGGTTGTGATGCTTGCAATTTTGAAGATTTCATAAATGTTAAAATGTTTTGCCATGTTCACTTTCTCATTGAATTGCCCATATGTAGAACAAAAAATCAAGATAGGGTTGTGATACAAGTCAATCACAAATTATCGTATTTTTGTATCTATCAGAAAGAAAATTACAATGTACTTTGGAAACATTAATGAAAAAGCATGAGGATCAATTTCTCTGGCAGACAAATAAAATGGATAAAAAAACGCTATTCTGTTGTTAAAATGATAAGAATATCTCTTTCAAAGGTACACATATCCTGACAGCTAAACTCATTCTTATCTTTTCTCTACATTTTTTTTTAACTTGTTCATTAGGAACGAGGAGTACTCTTGATATGAACAAGAAATGTTAAAAGCACATTTTGTCTGCAATGGGCCATATGGTATCTACGACTTGTGGAAATAGTTTTAAAACAAGTCAGGTGTGTTTACAAACACAAATGCCCCGCAACCGTGACTGTTCCCATGACATAACACCACTCTTTTAACATCAACTTACATGTACCTTGGTCACATGGAATGTTCATTGACAGCATTAGTGTCTTCTGTAGGTTTTATATGAATTAATCCCTAATCCCTATGATCTCAGAATAAATACAAGATTTCGATTGTTTTAGCCACTGTGACCTTGACCCTTGACCTTTCGGCCCCAAATGCAATAGGCTTCTTAGGATTACCAAGAACAATACACAAACCAAATTTGAAATTCATATGTAAAGTATTTCTCAAGTTATCGCGCTGACAAAATTTCTTTTGTTTTAGCCACTGTGACCTTGACCCTTGACCTTTCGCCCCCACACTGAATAGGCTTCTTAGGATTGCCAAGGACAATCCACAAACCAAATTTGAAGTTCATATGTAAAGTATATCTCAAGTTATCACGCTGACAAAATTTCTTTTGTTTCAGCCACTGTGACCTTGACCCTTGACCTTTCGGCCCCAAATGCAATAGGCCTCTTAAGATTGCCAAGGACAATCCACAAACCAAATTTGAAGTTCATATGTAAAGTATATCTCAAGTTATCACGCTGACAAAATTTCTTTTGTTTTAGCCACTGTGACCTTGACCCTTGACCTTTCGGCCCCAAATGCAAAAGGCTTCTCAGGATTGCCAAGGACAATCCACAAACCAAATTTGAAGTTCATATGTAAAGTATTTCTCAAGTTATCGCGCTGACAAAATTTCTATTGTTTCAGCCACTGTGACCTTGACCCTTGACCTTTCGGCCCCAAATGCAATAGGCCTCTTAGGATTACCAAGAACAATACACAGACCAAATTTGAAGTTCATATGTTAAGTATTTCTCAAGTTATCGTGCTGACAAGATTTGTCCGGACACACACACCCACACACCCACCCATACTTGTTTCACATGACTAGTGTGGACTTTCCATTGCTTTCGTGTAGTTAAGAAAAACCAGTGAAAAAACTCATTTTTCTCAAACTGTGAAAACTCTTTCAACCCAATTTTTTTTCTATGATTCCCTTTAGTGTTTCTCTTCATTCTGCTACTGATAAACCTAACCCAAAAATGCCTCTAAACCTGTTTTCCAGAAATGGGGAAACACTGTGTGGACGTGGGCAAGTCCACACAACGTCGGTGCTACCTACATTATGTGGACGTCTTTTGTTCGGAAGTCCACACTGCGTATGTAAGACAAGCTCACCCACACACACACCCACACACCCACCCACCCACCCACCCACCCACCCACGGAAGGACAAGGCGGAAACAGTATGCCCCTTCGGCTTCGCCGCGGGGCATAAAAAGGAATGTAGACACCTTGTAATTCTGAGCATCAAATACATGTATCTTTGCAAAGTATCAATTTTGTACAAAGATAGTTGCTCTGGAATACAGGCATGGATACCAGTCTACTCCTACAAACGTCTGACACACAGTTGAAGTGAAAATGACTATCATGAGCTTTTATAATAATATTATGAACATGTATGTAGACTTATCTATGACTGTACAGTGTATGTATTGTATATAATTGCACTAGCCTGTATGATTTACGCTTCACTTTCTCCAATCACATTTTTTTCGGCACGCAAATTTCTTAATAACCCCGGCTCTGGAAATGCCTGGGATGTGCCAGCGTGGCATGGCCAACACGCCGTAACGCATTAATCACAAACGACAGTCCACCTGTAGCACATAATGACATGCTCCTTGGAGCATGAAGGAACGACCGATGGTGCTAGACGCATGATAAGAAGACACACGCACGACTGTTTTTCAATTCTTCCTCTTGAAGAGGAGGGGTATCACGGCGAAAGCAACACATTGGAGACATTATAATCTAATGATAATATGAAGTGCTTATATGGTGCTTTCCAACAAAGGAAGGCGTCAAAGCGCTTCACAATATTAACCCTTGTTCATTGCCACAAGACCACTTTCCTGAACAAGATCAGTGCAATTTGGTTTGTACCCTCACAGGTACCATTTATACTCCTGGGTGGAGAGAGGCAATTGTAGTAAAGTGTCTTGCCCAAGGACACAAGCACCATGTTCCCTATCAGGATTTGAATACACATACCACAACACCTGGGTCAAACACCATAACCACTGGACCGCAGCGCTTGTTTTCAAGAACATGATACACATGTAAAATAGGCTGAAAAGCTAGTTGCGAGTTTTAAAAGCATTTCGAAGAAACAAACTTTGTCGAAAAAACATTCCAATGAATCCAGGCCCAATAGTTAATGAGATTACAGTACTGAATAACATCTGAATTACAAATTCAGCCTCATTATGAATAATATTAATTAAGTATTTAATTCTTCAAGGTGTGTATTTTTCCTTATATTTCAACTTTCAACTGGATGGGGTGAAAATACAAGCATTTAGTGACAGACTTAAATTAACTTACCTATGGCTTACTTTCCTGACTTGTTTTATTTTGGAAACATTTGAAAACTTTGTTGCTACACTCACAAATAGGCGGATCAGCATTCAAATCTAATATAAAAAAATCTGATAAACACCCACCTTCCCTAAAAAAAGAAAAAAAAGAGCACAGGAAACATAAGTTTTATTCTTACCAGTAAAGGTAGGGCTTGTCCTTCTCTATGGATGGGTTGATAGGATCAAGGCGGAACCAGGTAGTAAACGTAAATCCATTCTGGTATGGCCACCTTGCCATGGGAGGCATTGCAATAGCCTGGTAAAAAAAAAATTGAGCAAACAAAAAAAAAATTCATAATTAACACTCAACTGCTGAATGATGTTTGCACAAATGCAACGGTGGGATGGAATGTACACAGAGTCGAGTGCAGAAAGCAACTAGACTGTCATAGCTTAGAATACAAATACCACTCAGTTGACAAGCTGTTTGAATGGCATCGGGCGGTAAAATTCACAGCACGCCTCGGCTGGATTGCATCAATTAACGTCGGCTCTGTGTCAACACAATTTTGTTTTGGTATGGCCACAGGTAGCGTGTATGAAATTAAAGGATATTACATATAAATTCTTAAGGTCATTGAAATCCAAAAGCAATTATTCAACTAATCATTCAACACCCACTGCAAACATTTTTCTCTCCTTGTTAAGGTTAGCCATCACATGAAATCGTTGAGTGAAGATCTTGGAAGAACTTGGAACACTGAAGCTAGGGTAAATGCAAATTTGTCTTGCTTCTTAAAAATTACGACGACACCTCCAAAATAAGACAAAATGTATATAAATATACGAGTGTACATGTATACATCAATAATTAATAGATATATAATTTCCTTTCATTATAAAACTCAATCTAGATTATTTTTTAATTGAGAATTGAAGGGAAACATTTCAAATCCACTTCCCTCAAATTTGCCTCTGGAAACAGAAACTGCCCTTTGGAATTTTGTTTATCTGTCTTCATGAACTGGAAAAACCCAAATAAGAAAATCTTTGTAATTTTACAATCTAATTCAGAAAACCGTACTTTTCACAGATTGAAAAAATTCAGTTCTTCACAATGTCTGCTTTATCTTTACTGAAGAATGCCGACCATTTCCATCAGAGAAATTACTTCATTCTCAACTTGTCCAATTCACAATGAGTTTATACATCTGCTCAAGAAGCTCTTTGGGGAAATGCTTGTGCTGTTTGAGAAAGGAGCTGTTTCGGACAGACCGGCAGCGCGCTCTGAGACACCGGTCTCATTTTCCCTTCCAAGGGATTTCATTCAAACCCCCTGCTGCAATCACATCCAGGTGCATTCGGTGGCACTTGCTAGGCACCTTCAATTTCAAAAGATTTCTCTCCCTCGACCTAATCACGACAATGCTCGGCCAAATTGAATTATAACCCATCTCATCTCGGCCGTGGCAATGAATTGAATTATACATCCTGGATTTGTATAAACCCCTGCGCCTCCAACATTCCACGTTGTCATCGAAATTGGAAACAGACTTTTCCTGTGTCTTAGCCCATGGCCTCTGTATCATTTGACAGCCCCGTCTCATGATACCCTTGCTCTTCGCCAACGACGCAGCTATTTTTTCCTTCAAGATCACAAAAGGTGCAAGGTTTTTTTTCTCCTCGAAATCTGGGAGCAAATCAATAGTATGACCTTTGGTTACACTGTATCTATGGCGGGGTGTCTGACACCTGACGAATTGGGGAACCGAGATGGTGTTTCCTTGAGATCGGTGAGATTTCTCCACCACAGGGTGGCAAGATAGAGATTTTGTTTTTCAAAGATTTATCGAATATTGTTGACTCTCTGCTTTAACGTAGGATAAGAGCTACCTACACTGTGATAGTCATGTGCATGTGATATCATTTTTGGGGTCAATTTAATGAAGCTGATCAGGGAAATTGACAAGGTGCATTATAATAAAAACATTATTAAAGTTGAACAAAGAAATTGACTGGAGCAGGGTTTGAACCTTGCATGGATTGCCGTTCCAGCACTCTACTAACTGAGGTATCAAGCCCTATGTTGGCAGTTCTCTATTTTGTCAAAATGTCAATGTCTTTTACTACATGTACATCCCAGGTTTGCAGCATTGCTAGTGAACTCAGACATTGACAAAATTGGGGAACCACCAACATAGGGCTGGAAAGCTCAGTTTGTAGAGCACCGGAACGGCAATCCGAAGGTGGCAGGTCCAAACCCCGTTCTTCTAAATTTTCAACTTCAAAAAAAAAAAAAAAAGGGGGGGGGGGGTTTGCGCAAAATTTGCTCGACAACATTTTCTGCATACAATTTTCACAACCACCTGTTTTTGAGCAAATATTTTGTGTACTTAGAACATTTATGAAATTGGCTCCGGATCATAGCGAGCACTGACCAGTGTACTAATAACTTCCTCATACAGTCTTCACATCCCCAAACGTTTACAAACTTAGCCTAGTTGCATATGAATGTCATGCTCCACTCTTCACGCTCAAAATACATCCAATAACCCTGACAATGCATGTCCCATATGCTTCCCATCCACAGTGTTTTCGATTGCCGCATAAATGTTTACATAAAGCGCCTCAAGCTGTCAAATGTTAACTGCTGTGTGCTCCTATGTATATGCCTTCATACAGAGCAAGCCAAGAATGAATGAATACTATATAGATTGTGGCTTTGTACTGGGCACACAATGGGTGGTATAAACATTTAAAGAGTCCATGAAATTATTTTTACACTGGAGCATATCTGTAGCAAATATCCATCCCTCTGAAATGTATAAGAACTATGAGACATCCCTTTTTGGTAAAACTAAATTGTAAAGTGCACCTTTTTAAACTTTTAAAATGTTTCAGGCTTTTCCTGACAACTGAGGGCGCTGTTGCTGTGATGTCACTTTAGGAACTCATTTGGGTTTTCTCTTCAAGTTGTAAACCAAAAATTCAGCAAACCCCCAAAATTCTGGTGACTTTCTAACTTGAAGCAGATGTGAAACTGAAGTTTCTGCCTTGAATGACATCAGTTTTGCTCATGAATATGGAAATTTGCATAAGCATTAAAACCAAAAAAGCACCAAAAACGCCCCCTAAAAAATGGTAACATGAAGATTACAAATAAAGATAATTGGAACAAAAAGGTACAATTCAAGGATTGCGTTTAAAAAAAAAATCCATTATTCGGGCCCTTTAAACACTGCAAATAGTTTTTCTGTAATAAGTTTGTTGTTTTTACATCAAGTGAACATTTTCATTTTCACCTCATTCTGAATTTTAGCTGACTTCTTTTTATGGTTACAATCATTGGTAAACACTGCCGAATCCAGCAGCAAAAATTGATGATTACCAGGGATATTATACATGTAGTTCACACAAGGAAAGTTCTCAAGTTAGGAAAAAGAAGACAGGTTCACTTCGCTTTCAACAACTCGCAAGTTCTAACGTTCAGGCAAGAGATAACGGCCGTCCATTAGGGCCGTAACGGATCTCCCCAATTTACTCCGGCTTGGAATAACAGCTAATAAATTCTCCAACAAGATGGAGAATCCTTTTAACTGATGGGGTTTGTGTCGGTGTGCGTGCGTGTGGGGTTACTTACCGCCCCGTTCTTCCCTGAGAAGCTGAAGAACACGTCCGGTCCGTGCTTGCGAGGGATTTGCTTCAGGACTTGCAGGAGTTTGACAGAATACCGCGGCTGGGATCAAACAGAGGAGGGAAAGATAACCAAATTATTCGGAAATTCTGCAAAGTTTTGAATCATTTGTGTGGGTAATTTTTACTGTCTGAAGTTTCTTGAAAAGCACGATTTGAAACCTGTGAGGGGAAAAATCATCCGCTGACAAATGACAAATTTGAAAAGGTATAATATGTCATACCAATGCAAAAAACAAAACAAAACTCTCGAAATTTTGAGCACAAATCTGTCTTTTCTTGAGGCAAAATAAAAGGAGATTTTGTTAAGATTTAGTGGGAGTATAACCAATTTTTGAGTTCATATGGGATTACTGATTTTGGGATTGAAAAATTGCATGAGTGGGCATTTTTGTAACAAGAGAATGAACAAAAAAAAACCATGTATTTCACTCGGCAATCTTTTCAGACGGGTAAACTTTCACTTGAAATAACAACTGAAATTTACGACTCCACTTCCAAGCCGCCGAGACAATTTTCTCTCTTAGTCTTAGCGATTGATGCTTGGTGCATTTCTGAATGTCCGTTATCGATCAATTTTCTACAGCGCTGTTATTAGGTCAAGATGAGTAGATGCCTGCAGCTGGCAAGACTAGAGATCTACGACTTGGGATAAAAAATACTCTGTTGTCATCTTCGGATTACCGCAGCTGGTGCAGGCAGGAAAACATTCAGGAATAAATAAATTAATGCGTAAATCTCTTTTCATTCAATTTGCAAGTTGTGGTCACCCCCCACTCATAGAAAAAAGTCTCTTGATGCAATTTCTTTGCATTCGGTTTATGAAAAATTTACATTTGTCAGCAAATTTGTCCAAACGTCTATGAGAACTGACAAGGTGACATGATGAATTCGGTTCTACCTAATATGCTGCGATATTGCAAGATACAGACAGACAATCTACTGGCTTAGTTGTATCTTTTTCAATGTATAATTGTATGTAATTCTAGCAAGCGAAGTCCTTTAATTGTTCCGGTAAAGAATTCAGAACATTAAAGCAATAAAAAAAACTTAATAACCAGGATTTCTTGATGAGTACCCTGACTACAAGCTGTACCTACAGCAACTAATTTCTGAGAATCCAGGATGATTATTTTCTGTAATCATCACTGGTTTTATTATAAAGTGCAGGTGTCTTTCATCAACACCACACAGTCCTTATCTAGTTACATTGTTTGCAATGATTACTGTGGGGTATGCTGTACTTTTCAAAACCATCAGGGAATTGATTTCACAAGTCTGGCGTAAAATATGTGATGAATGTACTGGTACCCTGGGCACCACATACATTGCAACATGCACATAATGGCAAGTACCGGGTATATACTTGTATGTAAACAGATGATACACACAATGTATACATGTATAATGTAAAGTCAAACTTGAATGACCACAAATGTTCATGTATACAACTATACATGTACATCACAATTATATATGTATAGAGATATCAAATTAAAAAAAGTTAGCAAATCAGAAAAAAAATTGGCAAAATTAAAAGATTTTTACGTAAAATAATAAAACAGGCTTACATAAAAAGTCTCCCTTTCTGGTTGACAAATTCAGCTATGCCATCACAGCAGTCAAAATTAAACAAGTGACTGTTTTTAAACGTTAAGAATTCCCTTCTTAATTTGATATAGCTATGCTTTGACTGGAGGTTATTAATATGTCAGCTGTACCGACAAGTTACCTCTTTTGTCTGTTGATGGAATTTGACTAGTCACAGTGTTTACATGAATGTGATTTGACTGTTTTTACTAGCCTGTATACAAATATGTGGCAAGGGATGTGGAAGACATTTTTGACTGTCTGTGAATGATCAAATAGGAGTGTTTACTTAATGTACATTTACCTACATTTTGTTTGATTGAAAACAGAACAAATAATAATAATCTGTTTCAGTTAGACCTACTAATTTCTTATAATTGAAGGTCACGGCCCCGTTTTTCCCCTTCCTTTCCGCTTCTGACCCATTTCTTTCAGGAAATGATCAATAATGAACATGCTCATGGCAACGTTGTCATTCACAGTTTTATTAGAGATCTAATTTAGTTGCAGACAATGAATATGATTTTTGTGAGTATGTAGGCAATCCCAACAGCATTGAAGCCAACTAAATGTTTACAGGTGTTTCGAGACTTGACGGCAATCGTAATATCCCCCATCCCACTGAGAAAGACCCTTTGTCACCCCCCCCCCCTCCCCCGGAGAAATCCCACGATGCAATTACTTAAAGTAGGGTCTCGGCATCATGAGGCATTGATGGACTCTCAACTACGGTATTAAAAAAAAAAAACGGGGGAGAGAGGGAGCGATCATTTATACAACATGTACACGCACATGCGGTACAAGTTCAGGCACTGACGGGCCTGCAGGGCACCGGTGTCACAAAGACGCAGTGCACCTGCCTCTGTGAGCCAGGGGAGAGTCACACGGGGGACAACCGGGCCGCAATACGATTGAAGTTGCGACAGGAAGCAAGAGAGAAAAACGGAAATAATAAAGAGTCCAAAATGAAGCATTTCCAAGATTTGACAGCATGATTGCTTCTCTGCACCGTCTAGACTAAAATGAAGTACCGGCATAGAAGAAACGCATAGATATACTTGAAAGGCCTACATGTACGTGATTTTTTGTAGCTTGGAACCATTTTTTTCTTCCAACACCGTCTTCCGCTCATAAATTGCATGTTATTTGCGAGATGCATTTTAGCAGGTCATGTTACATTTTACACGGGGCTGCCCGGGGCAAGTGACGGTTGACGTGCACCTCGCCACATTCATGTGTAAATAACAGGTCTTTGCACAAGAGGCTTTCTGCGAGCCCGTTGAAAATTGGCAACGGCAGAAATCGTGTCATTTCTGATTTTGCAGATGATCGCCCCAGTAACTCTTGAGCTATTTATTTTAGGATGGGAAGGACTACCGAGGATCTTACTGGAGGTTCTGCCGGCAATTCAGAAGAAAGTAATAGAACTCTGTGACAGAAACATTCAATGGTTGGTTTTATGTCCCTTTTTCCTAAATTTCTAGGTATCCTGAAGTTTCTTTTACTCTTAAATTGAGCTGGACCCAAATTTCTGTACAGACAGACTGAAGTTGCTTAGTTGAACATTTTGCTTAAATACTCGATGTGCTAATCAGAAATCAGCTGGGTACCAGTCAAGGGTGATAAACATTGCATTACATTTTGGCTGGTGACCTGTCTACATGTATGCTTAGCAGGTATTTTTTTAGCTTGCCAAATTTTCTGTGATTACCTTCCGATGAAATTGCCTACTGTTCGTTCTCCCCAACCCCCTATCCCATCCTCCCAAAGTCACCCCTACCCCTCCGACCCCTTCCCAATTCACCTCCATAATCTTACCCACAGTCTCCCTCCCAACCCCTCCCCCAAAGTCATCCCTTGTTACCTTACCCACCTGTCTGTCTCCCCCACCCCTTCCCACCCTCCCCCAATTTGCCTCCGTTTCTTGCCCTTAGTTTGTTCTCCCCCTATCCCCTCCCCCTGAAGGTACCCCTTGTTATCTTACCCATTGTCTACCTCTCCCCCCCCCCCCCCACCCCCTTCCACCCCCTCCCCCATTCACCCCCGTTATCTTACCCACAGTCCGGTGTCCCCTTTCAGGAAGCTGAAGATGAGTTTGAGCTCCTTGACCGAGATGCTGTAGCTGGCAATCACTCCCAGGATCTCCATCAGCAGATCTGCGGAGGCGGAAAAAAGAAACAAACAAGAGACTAAAAAACCTGAATTGCGATTTGACAGAAACTCAAGGGTTTGCTGTCAAAGAAAACACAAGGTCACTTGAGAGAGACGACAGGTAAAAATAAACAAAACTGCCCTGACAATCCCTCCGCGGTCAACAGTGGATACAATTTCTCAAAGAAACCAGCAGATCCAATTTCTTACATCTTATCTTCTGATGGATTTTTTGCAATTTATTTTTATCATCATAATTAATTGAGGATAATTGATGCCTAGATAATCTTCATTTGATTTTTAACCCTAACTGCATGTACATATGTACATGTACAACGTATGTATTTCCAATTTCTCAAAATTCAAGACCTGCTTAAATTTGATGCATCAATGGTACTATCACTATCAGTACTCCATCAACAATTCTCAAAAAAGTTTAATGATTGATAAACAATTTCTAATTGTTGAATTCATTTCAAGTTATCTAAAAAAATATATAAAAAATAAACAGTATGTCAGTAACAAGTTTTGACGTCTTGAATCTAAAGACGATTTTAGAGTCTCTTATTTTCAGAACTGTTGATGCTGTATTACCGCCATGTCAACACACAAATTGTTATTTGTGTTTTCTTTACTGTATCTCTTCAAATCTTGGTGCCAACTGTTGAGAATGCAGACAAAATATCCTCTCTGAGGTCAAAGCCCCCGTCGGATTAGTCCAGATAGCTTCCGCCAATGCCAGCCCTCAAGACATCCCATACGTCGCTCCACTAGCTCTTCAAGATTCGGTTCTGGGATCTTAAGAAAACGCTATAAATATTACAGCGAGGCCCGTCTCGGGAGCATTACGGAGGCAAAATATGCCAGCTGGGATGCCGCGGTGCGGTACTGGGGCAGGATTTAGCATCCTACGGAAGGACTTATCTGAAGCACCGACGTACCAATGGTAATTCCCGCATTTACAAACCAAGACATTTCCCCAGGGGGACACAAACTAACTTGTCAAGGAAAGCCAGATGGCAGAAACATTCATCATGCATGCATTTTTGTGAACATGTTTTATAAGATTTACCTTTATACATTCATGTTTTGCACATTCATACGTGTTCACAGCATGCAAGATTAAAAAACATTTATTTGTTCATCAGAAACATCCTCACGCATTGAACTTGTCTGTGAAAGATTCCTTATTTTTCCTTCAAAACTACAATTACACTTGTAAGATTTTGACTAGAAAGTAGGGCCATGTCCGAATAACTTGATTACAGCAGGCAGCGACACACGTGTCTATTGAATGTGGCATCGGCTGTTTCTATAGCCACGTGTGTAATTGCTGCCCACAGCCAAGTAATTCAGATGCGGGCTAACCCAGATTCAGCACGTAATGCATTAAGTTTGTGCTAAGCCAAAAGTCTTCTACGCTTAGCGAGTTGGCTAACCTGAGAGCATTTCGTTGCATGATTGTAGCTTGTTGACCAGCTTGGTGATCAGGCTGACCTCTGTGCAGGCTTGCAGGTTGAGAACGCTCTTCCTCAAAATGGCCACAAACATACTCCATATCTCAGCCTGAGGGTCAGTATAAAGAAAAAACAGCAAAATTGAATTTTTTTTTTTACAATTATGGCGTAAATTTCATATTAAAGCAAGAATTTGTAACTGCGACTTAAAATTTTTAATCAGAAAGAAACCATTTAACTCTATATATAGCACTCCATCATGCAAAAATTCTTGATGTAAATCTGAAAAGGGTCCATGAAATGAAATTTACACTGGAACAATTCGTAGCAAATATCCATTCCTCTAAAATTCTTATAAAAACTATGAGACATCCCTTTTTGGTAAAAATTGTTGCAAATTTACAGTTTTTTAATGATTTGAAATGTTTCATGCTTTGCATGACAACTGAGGGCGCTCTTGCTGTGATGTCACTTTCGGAACACACTCTTCAGATTAGGGTTTTTACCTTCAAATAGAAAACATTTCTGCATAAAGTTTTCACATGAAAACTGTCCTACTGTCTTACTGTCATATACTGAAACAACAATGAACCACTGAAAGCAGAAAATTGACCAAAGCAAACCCTATTCTGGTGACTTTTTATGCTGAAGCAGATGTGAAACTGAATTTTTGCCTTGAATGACATCACAGTTTTGATAATGAATATGGAAATTTACATTAGTATAAAACAAACAAAAAACACCGCAAACGCCCTTAAAATGGCAATATGGAGATTACAAATACAGTTCAATGGAGCACAAAAGTACATTTCAAAGATCATATTGCATTTAGAAAAATTCCATTACATGGGACATTAATTAATAAAGATATCGGTAGCTAAAGCTAACATTTTTATCGTTGCTTTTGTTATTTGGCATAAATATTTGAATGCCAAATTTTATCAAAATTCCTTTATAATGAATTCAACCACATGAATAAAAATATACATGTACTTAAAGAAATTAATTGAATTGAGTCTTCATTGTGTTACAATCACAGGTGGTTTGATCACTATACAGTAATTACAAAGTAATTACAATCCATAGATTACCATCTCCAGGAAGCAACGTGGGCACACCATGCAGAGTGCCACTGTTTGGTTTTGTAGGCACCTGCATGCCCATTCCATTTCCATGTATGGAATATATGGAATATATCCAATAATGGACAATCTAATTTTTGTTGAAAAAAAAAATTTGAAAAAAAATCTGAGGGGAACTACAAAGCAAGCATTGCAACCGTGCTGTTCAGTATGAAAAATTATACACTTGGTCAATATTCTTTGTTTAACTTTTTTAACATTGAATTTTTAATTTTTTTTACATCGTCTTTGTGATTAACTGAAAGTACAGAAACGATGAATGGTATTAATATTGTTAATTCATGTATCTTAGGAGCATTGTGCCCGTGCATGTAAGTCACCAACTAATAATATAAGATGGCCAATGATGAGAGGAAAAAATAGGTATTTATTGAACTGGTATCTGACAATCTAGACGGTGGCACACACTGCATCTATGGCATGTACATGTATGTAACAATTGTCACAGTCCACATTTTACGATCCAAATGATTAAAAAATATCCCCTAGTAAAATTACGCCCCCCGCCCCCTCACCCTGCCCCTCACACAAATTGGACCTTGGTTATTGTCACAGTATCCAGGGAAAATTATACAAAAACACTCCAAGTCTGCAAAAACCATGGCAACGGCAGATATGCCGCAGTACGGGCCCCGGGCATTGACTTGCACGATTGGTTTCACCATAGAGCAAGGACCCTGCAAGTATTGTTTCTCATTATACGTTAATGACATTTTTGGACTTAAGTACCAAGATTGCATTTAATAGTACAATACACCTCAGAGACATCATTCATTCATTCATTCATTCATAAAAGGTTTATTAAAAATTGTCATCACAGCAAAAAACTGAATTGCAACAATTATTACAATATTTTAAAAAAAAAAATGAAGAGATAACATTCAATGAAGAGATAACAATTAACATCATACACAAACTATGCAAATACAATCTGGAACAATTCGTACATCGATTTCACATGTTCAATACATGGCCAACAATGTTTTATATGTGAAGATGACCATGTTTTGAAACAATTTGGGTTGGGTATTGATGACAGATCTGTGTACATTAATGAGTGGCTCATTTAACTAAATATAGGAAATATATGGGTGTCAAAGAATCCCTCATTCTCCTGACGACGGGCAGAGCATACTGTTCGAAACGTTGAGTCCCTCCGGTTCTTTTCAGAACCACACATACTCACAAAAGAGATTTATTCACATGGTGCTACCGCAAACTTATCTTGTCTTAGTATCTTTCCACCATGCAAACCTTCAAATCTCATGTCAAAGAATAGTTGGGCATCAAAAGTTGTGACCTCAGTAATGCTAAAATTGCAAGTTATCAATTCTGACTAATAGGTATGGTGACTGCTAGGTTGGGGTGAGGGAGTGAGGGGGTGAGGCGAGAGATGGAGGAGAGGGGCACAGTGGAGTTGATGCAGGGCACGGTGGGGCAGGGTGGTGCAGGGCGGGAAGGGGGTGGTGCAAGGCGGGGCGGGGCAAGGCAGTGCAATGCAGGGCAGAGCAGGGCGGGGAATCATCTCACCTGAAGTTTCTCTTCACAATGGTCAATCAGCTCAAGGAGATGGGTTACGTTCTCCGGATCCTCAACGACAAAGTTGGACTCCAAGTCAAACTCACCGCCAACAAGCTGGTAAAAAGAAGAAAAAGAAAAAAAAACCAAAATAAAATCAGATTTGTTTGAAAAACCCAGACATACATTAATCTGCAACAAGTATGCAAAGGAGCACGCTTGTCAAAGATTACCGGTGTCTTTTGAGAAAAAAAACTTTAGACACTCACACTTTATGCCCATTTGTCTTCCCTCCCAACGAAATAATATCAACTCTCAAATTTTTTGGGCTTGAAATTGTGGCTGGCACATTTTGGACTGTATTGATTTTCCTTGTTATCACAGATTTCATCATGCCATGACTGGTTACTCTCTAATCCTCCACTGACGGTTCGAAATTGTTTTTTCCATCTCAAGAGAAATCAGGACAACTTGGCAAGAATACGTACAGGAAGAATCCCACGAGAACTTCTGAAATGCGCCATTTTCCACGGATAGAGTGTTCTCGTCTCTTCACAGCCAAGAAGCGTTCATTTTGAACTTTGGCTGACCCGTAAGAAAAACCGCTCCGCAAACCCTTCATCTCTGCTCGCGAGAGATATTTTCCAGTTTCCCCCAAGGCATTGTGGGTAGTTGGCCGCTGCTAGAGTCAAAAACGCTCGCGAGATTGCTCCGGAGATGTTTTTTTTCTTTCAGGGCTGGTCGAAAATATTGAAACGTTTGGGACGTTGCTGAGAATTCATGCAAGGTGTGGAAGGTACTCCTTGTGATAACTTCTCCGCTCGGCCGTGAGTCCCGACGGACATATTTGCACACATCATCCTGAACCAATTGACTTTCATAGCTATGTACACATATGAGACCTCCTTTTCAATGTTGTTCACTGAACCTACGATAACATCTCATGAATTTGTATATTTTCTGCCGGGAGGAATTTTCTTGCAGGAAATTGTATGAACAGGATTGTGACTTGCTTGTCACTTTATCTAGCACTTTTGAATCATCAGTTTCTATAATTTTCTGGGTTTTTTTTTCTTTTTGCTGTTTTGTTGTCTTTTTTGTCAGTAAATTTGCACGCCTATATATGTGTAATGATTGAACAAAAACTGTCTTCCAAGTGGTAAAATCAACCGCACAGTGAAAAGTTGGATGTTGAAAAAAAAAAAAAAAACATAACTTAAAGAGCCATGACAAATTTGCACAAAATAAATTTCACAAATAATAACCTCAACTTTTGAATAACGTAAGATGATACATTTAAAGTGTGTAATTCTTTATTACCTCATATAGAAAATGGATGGTGTGGGGGTTGGGGAGAGGTATTTTTAAAAGTAGGTCGGGTTGAACCAGTACATGTAGGCTACAATGTACATTTTGTACATTGTATTTCTGTCTACAAATCTAAGCTTTTCTCATCCAGACAAAAAAATCAATACATCACACAGCTACCGATCCACCATCAATTCAACCAGGGAAACAAGTGCCAATGTTGAATCAGAGCCCTCTCCTCTCTCCTGCGTGCTAGGATGAACTACGGAATCCACTCTTGAAATTGTATCTCACGTCAGTGGACCCAAGCCCATGAATTATTCAATTCTTTTTCCTGCCTCAGTAAAACTACCCACTTTCTCGCTATTAATCTCCGTCTTGGTGGGTCGCAACAGGCCAACAAATCATTCCCTGGAACCAGGCCAAGGTGCAAGGGGAGAAACCAACCGACCGACGGCAAGCAGCAAATCACCCAACCTTCTTCATTAACATTATCACCACCGATGTTTTTGTTTTTCTTTCTCGGTGGTTGACCAAAGGTGAATCTCATCCCACCTCTGGTGTCGACTAACTCGGAAAGATGAGAACCGGTTGGATGGATGGCATCACTTTTAGTGTCGGGGCAGCGGAAATGAGGGGACAGCACGCTGAATGCCCAAAAATGTGTCAAAAGCTGCACGCACAATGCTGGCTCAAAACATCAACATTTGGGGTCAGTCTGAGACTGAATGACAAACTGTCTTCATCCATTTATGCATCAAATCAGGAAAACCTATGTGTATACTTAGCAAAACAACATCCACCAAAACTTTTACATTGTATCACTGGTTTAACCTGTTGGTTTGCTCAGCAACTCTTTTCCTAAAATAGCAACCTCTATTTGTAAGGTAATTAAAAGTATGCTTAAATTAAATGTACTGAAATAACATATTTTTCAACTGGGCTTAAAAAAATTGATCAATGCATTTTCTGTGATTTTTGTGCAGCACTTGCCTGTAAATTGTACATGAAAAAGACTAAACCTTCAAAATTTTGTATGAATTTTAAATTTTTCTGTAGAAAAATTATCCATGTTTTTCAACAAGAAAACCATCCACTAAAAGCCCAGGAAAACAGCCCCAGTCATAATCCTCCATGCAACCTGTTAATGTTCAGGGTTTCAGGATAAGCTGGGATGGTGTTCAATGTACATGTGCGTACACCCTATGGCCATACGCTGACTGCATTGGGAGATAATTAGCTGTCAGGATTATGCAGGGAGTGCGCTATGGCCTGACAAACGCTCGCCTGTCATTCAACTACATGTACAATGCAGTGTGTACATGTACGTGTGTAGTGTACGAACATGATGAGCACCGTACATGTGTGTGCCTGACATACATGTATATTGTATGGGGCTTCAAAATTAAAATGATGTAAATTGTACACGTGTGTTGGTGGTGGTGTTGCTCAAGTTGATTTTGTCTTTTTGTCCTACAAACTTCTTCATGTAGATTATAAATACCGGTAGAACACTGACGAATTATTCATGATTCAATTCAAATATGAGACAAAAATATGTATACCTGCATATTTTTTTTAATTAACATTTTATTTGTTATTATTATTTTCTTTTTGTACATATTTACATACAAGGACACACGCGCATGTGTCTACATGTAGTTGTCATGAACCCTATTTTATGGATCTGCTGACAAGAACTTATGACTTGGCAAATGTTAACACTGTGCAAAACTTGTGACTATTTTATCTACTTAATAAAGTCTGTGTGAGTTTGAAATGTTAACATAGGTTAAAATGCGATAATGCTTGAACATAAAATCACCTAGGACAATCAAATCTGAGCTGCTGCATATGAGAATACAGTACAAAATTTACAAATATGATAAATAGTCAGTAAATTTCCAATATCCAAATGCAATTTCACCTCGGCATCATCACAGCATGAGCTGCACTTTGTGAAATTGCCATAAATCGCCAAAATTGAGTAAAAATCCAAATTTCAGCTCACGCATGCCAATTTAAAAAAACACAAAGTGACCATAATGGCGAAAGCCAATATACGGTACCTCGACTCTGGCCAATAAGTGATTAGCTGAAATGCGCCACTGACATGTCCGCCACTGACATGTCCGCCGTTTACACTGATGAGAGACAACAAGCAAGCAGATAAACGGCCCAGCAGACTTCTCGGCATCTTCTCAACACCCGGGATGAGATAGATGAGACAATGTCAACCACGGCTGTAATTGGTATCCGCTCAGATTCGGAGAAGTGCGAAGCTAGCCTCGTGATTGAGAGAGAAGGGGCAGGCTTATGGCAATACTTGTGTAAATGGTTCAGAAATTGGCTCACATCCAACATGATCCCTGTTCAAATTTGGCATCAGAAATGTAAGACTGACATCTATCTGCTAGACTTCAGAATATTTGTTCTTTCTCGACCCATGCACCTAACTATTTTTAAATTTTGCAATTCTTTTTCTAAATTTGTGAAGTGGTGTTCTGTGTGAGCAATGACTAAAGTATGATCGATACTTACAAGTCAACACAAAACTTACAAACATGTACATTAAGAACCTAAATTTAAACACGAACATTAACAACCTAAATTTAAACATGAACATGTAGTTCAATTCTATGAACCATAAAGCTATACAAACCAACATAAACATACAATGTACCGGTAATATTGAATTAATAACTGCAGGTTCTTGCACATATGTGCAGAAAACTTGATCGCACATGTATAACAAAATATGTGTCAATGTACCCACTACCATGACTACCTTTTTCTGAATACAGTGATATACAAAGCACGTACTCCACCCCTATTATCCCAACAGTGAGCAACTTGTAGGGGTTCACTGATCGTGCACAAGCACAGTACATTGTACATTCTGCAATTTATCTTGTGTATTGTTATACCATTGGCTGGCTGGGCCCTCATGCCATGGGAAACCAGTGTGCTCAGTAATCAGCGAATCTTTCATTCTCAATGGTACCCTGGGAAGTGCAGGGACACATTTAGCATTCCTCAAGTTCTAAAGGACAAAGACTCCATGTCAATTCATGCACAGAAGATGAAAAAGAGATCAGTCATCGGACATTTTCCAATATCTGTTCCGATAGAAAATGGACGTGCTCCATTGAAGTTGCATTCCCAATGCTATTCTTCGAGTTTCATCCCGAAAAATAGATTCAGTTTCTACATTGCTATTTTTCAAGCAATACAAAACTTACTTACTTTTGAGAGAGCCATTGACCGAAAAACTTGGCCTATGTTTAGTTATTGAATTCTTACTTTACATTTTCAAATCATTGGCTGGCAGACACTAATTCCCATTTTCGCAGCGTAGGCTGGTTCCCGTCCCAAAACCAGTATCGATAATGTACGGATCGGGAGCCACTCTACTCCCAAAACATTTTTTTTTTCTTATTTTTTTTTTAGACTTTTGTAGATGTCCAAAAAAAGGAAAGAAGGAGTTTTTGGGTTGGAATGAAATATAAGTTGAAAATTTAATAGGAAAAAAACAACATAATTTGTTCAAGAGCTAAGGGACTCAAAAATTACCGGTATGTAAGGGAACTTGCGCAGCCACACTATAGGCCTACATGTAGCTCTGACATTTATGAAAACAGAAGTCTTTCTACAAATTCTAGCATAACTAATGATCCGCAAAATAACATACGGTAACTACTGTTATGTGTACTTTAAGTACACTTACAAAATGTATTCCAGCCGCCAGCGATTCTCAATTACTTGGGTTAAAAAAATGGGCAGATGTTATCGCAATCATCAAGGCACTC